GGCCTAAAAGGATACCTATGATCCCTATCACATTTCAGGCTGGTCTCAGTTGTTCAGTGACCCTGGAAAAGAAGGGAACCCTTTTTGGGGAAGACCATTTTTAGTGGGGCAGACACCAAAAAAAAGGAAAAAGGGTGCCGAACAACTGAGTGGTTTGAGCCCTCTGAAAGCGCCAATCCGCACGCCAATCCGCGAAGGCACCCAGAAAGCAACCCAGCTGCGATCGCTTTCAGGTCTCCTCGTGGCGACTGGAGGCGTGGTGACTGGAGGTCGGTGATGGGGCCGAGGCTCGTCTCCAATTGCACCTCCTGGGATTCAGAACTCAACCTATGAAACATATTTGAGCCTTCCAGCATACCCTGTCACCCATGCGTGGTTTGCGACTTTTCGGGGGAACCAGGCATAGGCCATTCAGAGATGGATGGGCACACTTATGCCATTCGCGTGCCGGCCACATTGCCCTCCCGACTGAGCAAACAACCTCTATCTGGTGCCGTTGAGCTGAATTTCAGTCCCGAGTCACACATTGCCAAGCTGGGAATTGGTTTTCTGCGTGACCCTCTCAGCCTCTCTCTCTCCCCCCCTCTCTCTCTCTCTCTCTCACTTTGAGAGGCAATCAACCTTGCCGAGACTCGACAGCCTTCAGAAGGCCAGTCTCGAGCTTCTTGAGCGTAACCTCTCACAAAGTCAATGGACGGAGAATCCTAGAATTGGGGACCCACTTGTTTTTTTGAAAGCTTGAAGGCAAACCCGAATGCAACCCATCATATGTCTTGTCGACAGCACATGCATATATATATATATATGTATATATATATATATATATTATATGCAGTGCAAACAGGATGGTCCAGACTCTTCACCCTTGTGTGCAACAGGGCATCTAGCCCTTGGATTTTGAGTCATGCCTACCTTACAGGAAGCCTTCTTTGGCGCCGCACCTCAACGTAGCCCATGAAGGCTCCAAGCTGTTTCGCCATCCAGCCCTGCTCGTGCTGCATCTTCGCCTCGCATGTCTTTTGGCTGACCATGTCCTTTTTGCGAGGGTACTCTTTTCATGCCTGATTGAAAGGGAGATCAAAGGGAAACTCGGAATTTGGGCCTCTCCTGCTTGGCAACCGAAGGCATTCGCTGGCCTGGTGTCTCCAAAGGTACAGATCATCCATGAAAAGAGTATCCAACGTGAAAGCTCGACATAGCACTGTGAAGTGGTCCATCTTTCTCGAATGTGTAACCAGGGTTTTTTGAAGCAAGGATGAGTATGTGTGCTTGAACTGCTTTGCATTGCCGAGTCCTGAAGGCCATTTGGAAGCACCGCTTGCCGTTGAGACTACTTGCATAGCGACCGCTTCGGCAGCAACCCTGGCACATGTCGACTTGCATGGTGACTATCCGCACTGCGCAGGCTGCTTGCGGCTTGGTTTGGGTATCTAGGCAGGCTTGCCCGATTTCTGCTTGCGTAGTCATAAAAAGACTGCCATGCAGACAAACAGGCACGCACGCACAAACTCTCAGCTGCGTCGTCAGGCTGAGGCATCTTTGCGTGTTCACGGTCCTTGAGACAGCTCTCCCTCCCTATCCAACAAAAACTTTGCCTACCAAACGGTGATGCCCCAAATCGGCTCGAGCAGAGACACATTGGGATCCTGTTTCTTCCGGCGCTTTGTGTTGGGGCTTGTAATCCCCGAGGTAAAAGGTCAGTCGACAAAACAGGTTTGGGATGCTTTCTTCATGTGATCCATTGATGGACGAGTGGCCCAACCATGGCACCTAAACCAACCCTGCCAAACAAACAAAGAACATATCCAAGGATGACACAACAGCAACGAGAACATGCCACAATGAACATAGAACAGTAAAAACAACGACATGTACTATACACCGCTGCAGCTTCAAACGCAAAACATCCACAGCACCGCAGTGCACACCTTTTCCTTTGTCAAGGCGCCATGTCCAGTGCTCGAGCCGGACCCCGCAAACGTAAGCCTCAGTAGGCAGCCGTCCATGGTTTGGCTGTTTAAATTGGGCAGGTCAGACTTTACGAAGCTAAAGGAATCCAAGAGCATGTGGAAAGGGGCCTGAAAGGGGGAAAAGTGCTTTTTGTTAATCTTGCGCTTCTTGTGGGAAGAAAAGCCCAACTCTCCTTTGGGGAATCAGCTGAACTGGGGAATCAACTGGAAGATACAAGGGAGAAAGCGGTGTGCTGAACAACTGGGTAGCATTATGCATGCTTGCTACGCAAAGGAAGCATCCAGCCATTCCCAGTGCTGTGGAAATCTGTCCCTGTGGTCGTTGCGAGCTAATTGCTTGAGCGGAACATATGTGTTCTTCCCCTCCTTGAGCGCACGTTGACATGAAAAGGAAATGCCAAGAGCAGCGCAGCCTGCGCATGCCTGCGCACCAGCGAGTCGGTTGCGGCCAAGCGGCATCCGAAAAGAAACCTCAGATCAACGTCAAAACGAGGGCACGCGTCAAAATTCGCACTCCTCCAAATGGCCACAGCTTCAGCTCGAAAATCCAGATTTAGCAGCCAACGGCTACATGTGTGGCGTCTGTTGGTGTGATGCTCCAGGTTCCCTGCATCTTTTTCTGTATTGGTGTGTTTGGACAGTCCAACGCCTGATGCCCAGTGGTTTCCACGGGGAAACAGGCTTGTTGTGCTTTGGTTCTCATGTTTTGCTTGGTTAAATCGAGAACCCCATTGAAAGGAACAAAGAACCAGGGGTTCAGTGGAGACATCTTCTAAGTGCCTGTCAGTCGGCCCCAAGGTTGCTTGCTTGCTTTGCTTGCTTGCTTGGTACTTGACTCATTTGCGTGACTTTCTTGTTTGCCTGACTTGACGTGTTTGCTTGCTTGCTTGTTCGCTTGGTTGTTTGCTCACTTGATTTGCCTGCCTGCCTGCCTGCCCGCCACTCACCCTCCCTGCAGCTCTGGGAGCTCCTCAATCTCGATGGCTGCGCCGCCATCGGTGTCGAGCCTCCAGTCGTGCGGTCTGACACGTCAACATCCGGCCACTTTTCACCAGCCTCACGCTACGCTGGATGCTTTGAAGGCAAAAACCCATGGAAATCCCGTCATTTTGGAGCACGAGAAAAGTCCTGGATTTGCCTGGCCTTCCTTCCTACTTTTGCCCCTGGTCTCATGCCTGTAAATGCTCAGGAAACCCAGGAATCGGCGCACCAGCAACCCACTCAGAGAGAAATTCGGCACCGGTTTCCAGCCAAGTGACAGCTTGAAGAATGTCCACCTCAGTGTGAGTCTGTGACGAGGCTTGGGCTTCAATCAACTTTGGTTGAACAGCCTCCTTTTGGTTTCCATTTAAAGGGCAGGGGGCTGTTTCAGCAACATCCAAGCCGGTTCTTTCTCCCTGTGTACGCCGTGGCCATGGTTCAGAGGAAGCCGCTGACCATCCCCACCCCCAAGCAACTGGGTCATTTTTGACCATGGCACACGGGCGGCGTTTTTTTGGACCAACTGGATTGACGGCTCATATTGGTTCTGGCCATCCGGGGGAGCTGGGGCCCCGGAGCCCCGGGACCACCCGGCGCCATCTAAGCCATGCTTTGCCAGGTCACGCATCGTGCACATCTAGCTCCAAGGCCTCGAAATAGGTCTGCACCTCGCAGCATGCTTCATACGGCAGGGGTTCTTAGCCTACGGTGTAGTGGTTCCCATTTGATGAAGCCCAAGCGTGGACAAACCTGAGTTTAAATGGGCTCCAAGCACTCCTACTGTCCTGAGTGACTCTCTGGTCACAAATGATGGCAGTGTCTCCACATGACTGATGTGCGTGGCTCTGCTCCAAGGAATCAGGGGGACAGGAGTCCAGAAACCCTTGAAGCCGGAATCACTGCAGCGAATCTGCAGTATGCACTGTAAGACATACACCTGCCCGAAGGTTGACAAATCTGCTGCTTGGTATCCCAGGGACAAAGGCGTCAAGCAGCTGCATTTTTGCACACGCCGCTCGGTAAGGGAGTGGCAATGCCGGCAAAACATCGGCCAACAACGCGAACTCTAGATTTATGCGATGTTGGCAATACTCAGGAATGGAAGACGCTGCGCATTGCATGCCCACTTAGCAGGCATTGTCCAAACATGCTCCAGACTGTTTACTTCCCTTACTTTGAGCATCAACAAGATTGCGTTGTTGTTGGGCAATTGTTGGGATGCTTCGAATTCATTCCATGTTCGTATGTGTCTGTCGTTTCTCACTGAAGTTAGCTCGCAGCAATCACAGCGTCTGGCTCACAAGCTGATTGTCGTTGCTTTGAGGTCTCTCAGGTGAAGAAACTTGTACCTGCTTAATGCCCACTAAACATCAGTATTGTGATTTAACCAATCATCACATGTCCGGGCAGATCACTCGCAATGCATCAAGTCAATGTCTTGACAAACTAGGTTGTTCAAAAGGGGGGGAGCCCAAAGTTTTTCTTTAGTGGACCCCACTACAGCAAGAGACAAAATTATCATCTGGCAGAACAACCCAAACGAATGAGGCCCGCACCTCTTTTTTGTGCATATTCTCCTCGAGCTCGACTAGGCTGATATAGCCAGAATCGTCGGCGTCCAGATTGGTGAACAAAGATCTCACCTTTTGTATATGCGCCTAAGGTCGTGGCTGCACGCCTCTAAACCTCTGTTCCACCGCCTCACGCCAATGACCCTGATGGAGGCTGAGTAAAATTAGGATTCAATCATGTGCCTACAAAGTTCCACATGATATATGTCAAACGACAATGCTGTCCCCTTCGACATTTGCATTGAAATTTTGGTTTCTCAGCATTTGTGCTGCGGGACTGTGCAGTCTAGTAGCCTCCTTATTCGCAATGATGTTCTGCATGATCATATCCTGACCAAGCTCACGGAAACCATGCTGACTGCCAGAGTTGCCGTGTTCGGCTGTTGCATTGGTACCGCGTGCTTCTAGCAAATGGGCCGCTGCAGCTGGATGCAGTTGTTGTTCTTAGAGTCAACATGATGGGAACCAGTATTCACACGCAATGCAAGGGATGGAACCGCAATGAATGCACTGACACCCAGCAAAGCTGGTGTGCCCAGCAAGCTGCAAACTGAGGCCGGCGCATGATCGCTTTGTGCAGATTCTATAGCACTTTGACAGAAAACGCCTGTCACCTGGCCGTTGCGGTGGTGTAGTTGGTAACCATAAAACAAAATGTATAGATTGCGGCAGCCACTCACCGAAGTGGGACTGAACAGCCGCCATGCCGGCACAGCTGCAGTCGCAAGTGGCACAAGGTGTATCCAGCAAGTTGCTCTGCGCCACTCGCACATGCCCAGGAGGCAGTGCACTGTTCATACACAAGACGCTCAACAAGACACTAAGCAAGTCAAGTTTGCGCACGCATTGAGAGCCACCGACACGCACAAGGTGAAGTGTGGTGCTCAAATACAAGTTGCTTCACTGAGATGCAAGCAAGTCAAGTTTTCTTACCACCCACGCACGCAGGGTAGAGTGTGGTGCTGATATACAAGATGCACCACTAAGAGTCAAGCAAGTCAAGTTTTCTCACGTGAAGGGTAAACAAGCCGTTTACTCACTTCGTGGATGGCTTTGGTCACGTATCCGTTCCCTGCAATGGGCTATAGCCAATCAAGGATCTTCGTGTCGAGCGATCGCCGGTTGTTCTGGCCAGTGAGCCAGCCGAGCAGCCTTTGTAGATTCTCAAAGCAGTCTCTTTCCGTCAGACTGGAGTCGCGAATAGCGTTTCCACACTGCCATGCGATGTGCGACCAATGCGCACGGTCGGCATTGAGGCCGCAATGAGGCCAGACGATTGCCTGTGTAGTGGCATGGAATTGGTCACTTGCAAGCTTTCCTTGAGCCATTCGGCGATAGCAAGGTTGGCTCACTGCGGCTCCGGTGAAAACTGCGAAGCGACGCCCCGAGCAGAGGGCCGCCCTACAGGCCGCCGCCGCGCCTGGCTTCGTAGGGGGAAGCGCAGTAAGCGTCACGCCTAGCACCACTCTGGCTGTTGCACAGCCAAAAAAGTGTATAGACTGTGGCAACGGCCATTCTGAACAGCCGGCATCCTGGCACCGCTGCAGTACCCTACATGCCCAGGAGGAGTGCGCTGTTCACACACACAAGATGCTCAGCCACAAGCAAAGTAAGTCAAGTTGCACACACATTGAAAGCAAAGGGTGGAGTACGCCGCTCATCTAGAAGAGGCTTCTCCAAGAGTCAAGCAAGTCAAGTTTTCTTACGCAGTCACATCCGCGAAGGTGTGAGGCAAACGACCTGTGCCTCACATGATGTACTTCGCCCAGCACACGAGGGCAACACGGCAGGTGCACTGTTTGCCACACAGATGCGCGTAAGGGGTTGTCAGGCTGTTTACACACTCCGTGGGTGCGGTTGGTCAAGCACCTGTTCCCTGCATCGCGCGCGCCAGTCGAGGATTTTCGAATCGAGCGAGTGCCGATTATTTTGGCCAGTGGGCCAACCTAGCCGCCTTGGAAGAGTATCAAAGCAAACGCTTTCTGTCAGACTGGAGGGGGAACCAGCGCTTCGCTGCCAAATGATGTGAGCCCAATGTAGTTGATGATGAAGACGCCGTCACGCTGCAGCATCTTTCCGTCAAGAAAAACGATCAGGGCGCTCACCATTCACCACGATCGTCACGATCATCGCGCAGGCCTCTGATCCTTTTCTTCAATCGTCTCTAAACTTGGGCGTTGTGCGCTGGACTTGCGCCGGCTCAGAGAAGCAAGCGCTCGGCATCGGGCCCCCAGCGCTCGGCCTTCCTGTCAGTCAAGCGCCCAGCCTGAAATGCGCGAGGCGCTGCTTGCAAGAGCCGGGGAGAAGGCCATCTGTAGCTACAGATCAAGCGTGTCTTGTCCTGCGGGATAGACTTCTCGCCGGGTGACCGACTCGTAGGCCACTGCAGTCGGTGAAGCAATCCATCGGCACTCCTTGATGCGCGCCATCTGGCACAAAGTCAGCTTGTTGCTCTCGTGTAGCAACTCCCCTGTTCTGACTGACACCAACGTGGCAACCTCCCGTCCTGCGATGGCCGCCGGATCTCCGCGTGCGACGTGGAGTAGCAGATTCTCTTGGCCTTCGAGGACGTGCGCAACTCCTCCATGATCTTGACATCCTCGAGTCCAAGCATGTGTGTTGGTATCCTGCCCATTGTGATGGGTCGGGCCTGTCATCCACCAGTAGGATCGGAATGCCTTCTTGAGCATCCTTGCTGGCACTTGCTGCATTATGTGTGCGGAACCACCAAGCATCGCCGGAACTCTCCTCGAAACCACCCTCTGGAACACCTCCCCTCAGAACCGCCCCAGACCAGCCCGAACCTTAACTGGTCACAGATTGCAAAGTCTCAAGCTGTTGGGGGAAAGTAAAGCCACAAACCAAACAGACTACTCAAACGAGCATTCAAATCAACCAGCCAAATCACTCAATCAACCGACCAACCAACAAACTAATCAATCTGCCAAACCAACCAGCCAACCAATAACCAACCAACCAAACAACCAACCAACCGAGCGAGCGAGCGAGCAACCTCTTCTACCAATCAACCATTTCAATGATTTCAATCGATCGATCGATCAACCAATCACATCAACAAAGCGAAATCAACCAGATAGCAAACGTTCAAGCAAACAACTCGTCAGTCAACTTGCCAACCATTCACACACCCCCACACTCACTCCCTCCCTCACTCAATCAAGCAGTCAACCAATCAATCAACCAATCAATCAATCACTCAATCACTCAATCAATCAACCAGTGAGTCAACCAATCAACCAGCAACCAACCAATCAATCAAATGTTTTTTCTGGCCTTCAGCTAACCTATCTGTGTGTCTAGTTGTTACCCATGTGCAAACCTGGAACTGACAAAGTGCAAAGGACAGCGCGCGCCACAAAAACCTACACACCTAGACACCTTTCGCGTGTCGATTCTTCAAACACAGTGAAACCAACTTGCAGGGGTTCCATCGTTGGTTCGTTCTTGCGGAGCAATGGGACAAGAGGCAAGAGGCCCCTCAAGCTAATTTTCGACTGTCATCCTACGACTTAAACGACACACGAATCATGCGGCCAAGGCGCTACGTTGAGAACTGCAAAATACGAGAAAGCTATGTAAAAGAGCAGCAGCATTACCTCGTGCGACCCCGGCCAGCGAAGCCCACTTAGATTGAGATGAGTCTCCGTAAGCTTTAGATTGCCATTGCTCCCTAACGTTGCCCCTCCTCACAGACACATGCCATCTTGTTCGCGCGGGCCATAAGCTACAGCGCAACATAGGGCAAGCGCGTTCGGCGTCTGAAAAATGAAAGCCTGCTTTGCGCAGCATCCGCTCAGTCCACATCAGAAGAAAAGGAGAAGGGCAAAGCAGTCAAGAAGTTCAAGAAGTGAAGAAGGGAAGGAAAAGGGAAGAAGAGACGAGGGCGGGGACGGGCAAGAAAGTACAGAACAAGGCAGGGCAAGCAAGCAAGGATTCAAGGAAGCAAGGAAAAGGGCAAACATGGTAGCTGGAAAGGACGCAAGGAAGAAAGGATGCAGGCGAGAAAGGACCTAAGGAAGCAAGGAAGGCAAGAAAGGAACTAAAGGAACACAGGTAGAAGAAATAACGATTCGATCCAAAACCGAAGAGAAATACGCGCGCGGGCAAGGAAGCAAGGGTGGGAGTCAAGATGTGAGGAACCCGTGACGAGGGGAAGTCAAGAAGCGCAGAAGTGAGGGAGCAACGGCCAGGCAGCGACGAGACACGCCGGCCAGCGGCAACCAACCAACCAACCAACCAAGCAACCAAGCAACCAAGCAAGCAAGCAAGCAAGCAAGCAAGCAAGCAAGCAAGCAAGCAAGCAAGCAAGCAAGCAGGCGTCAATCAGGCAGGCACACAGACAGGCAAGCCAGTCTGAAGGAAGGCGCGGCAGAGAAAGGCGCGAAGCGTGGAGTGGAAGCAGGGCGGAACCAAGGATGCGAGAAAACACCAGCTAAGATAGAAAGGAAAAGGGGGCACCAAAACAAGGACGGAAGGAAACAAAATGCGGGACGCACGGACAAGGGACAAGGAAAGAAAAAAGAAGAAAGCAAGCGAGCAAGCAAGCAAAAAAGCAAAAAAAACAAAGAGGCGAAGCAAAGCAAAGTTGAAGAAGCAAAGAAGCAAAGCAAAGCAAAGCAAAGCAAAGCAAAGCAAAGCAAAGCAAGCAAAACAAACCAAAGCAAGCAAAGCAAGCAAAGAAGCAAGGCAAGGCAAGGCAAGGCAAGGCAAGGCAAGGCAAGCCAAGGCAAGGCAAGGCAACGCAAAGAAGCAAAGGAAAGCAAGCAAAGTAAGTAAGCAAAGCAAAGCAAACCAAAACAAAGCAAAGCAAAGCAATGCAAAGTTAAAGAAGCACAGAAGCAAAGCAAAGCAAGCAAAGCAAGCAAAGAAGCAAGCAAAGAAGCAAGCAAAGAAGCAATTCACGCAAGCAAGCAAGCAAGGCAAGGCAAGGCAAGGCAAGGCAGGGCAAGGCAAGGCAAGGCAAGGCAAGGCCAATCAAAGCAAGGCAAGGCAAGGCCAATCACAGCAAGGCAAGGCAAGGCAAAGCAATGCAAAGTTAAAGAAGCAAAGAAGCAAAGCAAAGAAGCAAAGCAAGAGGCAAGGCAAGGCAAGGCCAAGCAAGGCAAGGCAAGGCAAGGCAAAGTAAGCAAGCAAAGAAGCAAAGCAAAGCAAGCAAAGCAAGCAAGCAAGCAAGCAAGCAAGCAAGCAAGCCAGCCAGGCGAGGCGAGGCGAGGCGAGGCGAGGCGAGGCAAGGCAAGGCAAGGCAAGGCAAGGCAAGGCAAGGCAAACAAAGCAATGCAATGCAAAGCAAAGCAAGGCAAAGACGCAACGAAGCAAAGCACAATAAGCAAGCAAAGACGCAAAACAAGGCAAGGCAAGGCGAGGCGAGGCAAGGCAAGGCAAGCAAAGAAGCAAAGCAAGCAAGCAAGGCAAGGCAAGGCAAGGCAAGCAAAGCAAACAAAGCAAGCAAAGCAAGCAAAGCAACGTAAGCAAGCAAAGAAGCAAGGCAAGGCAAGGCAAGGCAAGGCAAGGCCAAGCAAAGCAAGGCAAAGTAAGCAAGCAAAGAAGCAAAGCAAGCAACGCAACGCAACGCAACGCAACGCAACGCAACGCAAGGCAACGGAAGGCAAGGCAAGGCAAGGCAAGCAAAGCAAGCAAAGCAATTCAAAGCAAAGGAAACAAGCAAGGAAGGCGCGAAGGGGGCAGGCCAGCGAGAAGAGAGCGACCACATGAAGGAATAGGGTAAGACAGAGCGGGGGGGGGGGGAAGCAAGGAAGCAAACATGATGCAAACCAGACAGGAGAGAAAGCACGACCCCCAGGAAACGGGAGCAAGGAAGCGAGCAACTAGAAATTCAGAAAGCAAGAAAGCGAGCAAGCAAGCAAGCAAGCAAGCAAGCAAGCAAGCAAGCAAGCAAGCAAGCAAGCAAGCAAGCAAGCAAGCAAGCAAGCAAGCAGCCAAGGCAAGGCAAGGCCAAGCAAGGCAAGGCCAAGCAAAGCAAGGCAAAGTAAGCAAGCAAAGAAGCAAAGCGAGCAACGCAACGCAACGCAACGCACCGCAACGCAACGCAACGCAAGGCAACGGAAGGCAAGGCAAGGCAAGGCAAGCAAAGCAAGCAAAGCAAGCAAAGCAAAGCAAGCAAAGCAAAGGAAACAAGCAAGGAAGGCGCGAGAAGGGCAGGCCAGCGAGAAGAGAGCGACCACATGAAGGAATAGGGTAAGACAGAGCGGGGGGGGGGGAAGCAAGGAAGCAAAAATGATGCAAACCAGACAGGAGAGAAAGCACGACCCCCAGGAAACGGGAGCAAGGAAGCGAGCAACTAGAAAATCAGAAAGCAAGCAAGCAAGCAAGCAAGCAAGCAAGCAAGCAAGCAAGCAAAGCAAGCAAGCAAGCAAGCAAGCAAGCAAGCAAGCAAGCAAGCAAGCAAGCAAGCAAGCAAGCAAGCAAGCAAGCAAGCAAGCAAGCAAGCAAGCAAGCAAGCAAGGCAAGCAAGCAAGGCAAGGCCAAGCAAAGCAAGGCAAAGTAAGCAAGCAAAGAAGCAAAGCAAGCAACGCAACGCAAACGCAACGCAACGCAACGCAACGCAACGCAACGCAAGGCAACGCAACGCAAGGCAAGGCAAGGCAAGGCAAGGCAAGGCAAGCAAAGCAAAGAAAGCAAAGCAAAGGAAACAAGCAAGGAAGGCGCGAAGGGGGCATGCCAGCGAGAAGAGAGCGACCACATGAAGGAATAGGGTAAGACAGAGCGCGGGGGGGGGGGAAGCAAGGAAGCAAAAATGATGCAAACCAGACAGGAGAGAAAGCACGACCCCCAGGAAACGGGAGCAAGGAAGCGAGCAACTAGAAATTCAGAAAGCAAGAAAGCGAAAGCAAGCAAGCAAGCAAGCAAGCAAGCAAGCAAGCAAGCAAGCAAGCAAGCAAGCAAGCAAGCAAGCAAGCAAGCAAGCAAGCAAGCAAGCAAGCAAGCAAGCAAGCAAGCAAGCAAGCAAGCAAGCAAGCAAGCAAGCAAGCAAGCAAAGCAAGCAAGGGCAAGCAAGGCAAGGCCAAGCAAAAGCAGGCAAAGTAAGCAAGCAAAGAAGCAAAGCAAGCAACGCAACGCAACGCAACGCAACGCAACGCAACGCAACGCAAGGCAACGGAAGGCAAGGCAAGGCAAGGCAAGCAAAGCAAAGGAAACAAGCAAGGAAGGCGCGAAGAGGGCAGGCCAGCGAGAAGAGAGCGACCACATGAAGGAATAGGGTAAGACAGAGCGGGGGGGGGGGAAGCAAGGAAGCAAAAACGATGCAAACCAGACAGGAGAGAAAGCACGACCCCCAGGAAACGGGAGCAAGGAAGCGAGCAACTAGAAATTCAGAAAGCAAGCAAGCAAGCAAGCAAGCAAGCAAGCAAGCAAGCAAGCAAGCAAGCAAGCAAGCAAGCAAGCAAGCAAGCAAGCAAGCAAGCAAGCAAGCAAGCAAGCAAGCAAGCAAGCAAGCAAGCAAGCAAGCAAGCAAGCAAGCAAGCAGCCAAGGCAAGGCCAAGCAAGGCAAGGCCAAGCAAAGCAAGGCAAAGTAAGCAAGCAAAGAAGCAAAGCAAGCAACGCAACGCATCGCAACGCAACGCAACGCAACGCAACGCAACGCAAGGCAACGGAAGGCAAGGCAAGGCAAGGCAAGGCAAGGCAAGCAAAGCAAGCAAAGCAAAGCAAGCAAAGCAAAGGAAACAAGCAAGGAAGGCGCGAAGGGGGCAGGCCAGCGAGAAGAGAGCGACCACATGAAGGAATAGGGTAAGACAGAGCGGGGGGGGGGGGAAGCAAGGAAGCAAACATGATTCAAACCAGACAGGAGAGAAAGCACGACCCCCAGGAAACGGGAGCAAGGAAGCGAGCAACTAGAAATTCAGAAAGCAAGCAAGCGAGCGAGCAAGCAAGCAAGCAAGCAAACAAGGCAAGGCAAGGCAAGGCAAGGCAAGGCAAGGCCAAGCAAGGCAAGGCCAAGCAAAGCAAGGCAAAGTAAGCAAGCAAAGAAGCAAAGCAAGCAAGCAAGCAAAGCAAAGTAAGCAAAGAAGCAAAGCAAGCAACGCAACGCAACGCAACGCAACGCAACGCAACGCAACGCAACGCAACGCAAGGCAACGGAAGGCAAGGCAAGGCAAGGCAAGCAAAGCAAAGGAAACAAGCAAGGAAGGCGCGAAGAGGGCAGGCCAGCGAGAAGAGAGCGACCACATGAAGGAATAGGGTAAGACAGAGCGGGGGGGGGGGAAGCAAGGAAGCAAAAACGATGCAAACCAGACAGGAGAGAAAGCACGACCCCCAGGAAACGGGAGCAAGGAAGCGAGCAACTAGAAATTCAGAAAGCAAGCAAGCGAGCAAGCAAGCCAGCCAGCAAGATCGAGCAAGCAAGCAACTCCAGCCACCCAGCCAGCAACTCAGCGAGAAAAAGAAAACCAGCAAACAAGCAAGGGAAGGAGTGAAGCAAGCAAGGACGGAATGAAGGCAGCAAACAAGAAGTACCCAATGCATCTTATTGCAGAGAAAAAGGAAGGTGGAAAGCAAGGTTACAAGAAAGGAAGGAAGCAAGAAAGCAAGCAGGCAAACAAGCAGGAAGGAAGGAAGAAAGCGAGCCAGGAAGCAAACAAGAAAGCAAGGAAGCAAGCAAGCAAGCAAGGAAGGAAGGCAAGCAGGCAGGAAGAATCCGCCACCCGAAACAAGGTGGCCTACGTTTCCCCCTTGAGCATCACCCAACAAAATGATAGTTTTTTAACAGTGGCTCTAAAGCATGATGTTCAGATCCACCAAAACGGCTATGCAATCTCTGCGCAGCACGCCCAGAACAAGGCTCTTCGTGCGTCCCCCTCAAATATTTTCTCACCAAAAAACAGCTCAATCCAACCAAATCGGGAGATGTAAGGCCTCCTGCAGAACAAGCGCTCGTTTCATACGATACCTGCTCTTGCTCTACCCTCATGCGTCAATGAGCCACAAGAATCTCGAAAGCAACAGCATTGCTTAGGCGTCCTCTTGGCTCGACTTAGGTCACCAGGCGCTCGTTGTTCAAACAAACTTTAAAAGACTCTGGCGTCCTCCCGCTGACGTGGAACCCACCAACTCCTTTTGTCCCTTCCCACACGTAAACTGCTAGAATCCTCGGATTCTTTTGTGCATACCCTATCCATGCTTCTTTTTCTCAAGTCATTGGGGCAACGGACCATCATTCACAAACCTGAACCGGGAGCAAGGGACCGTCAAGAAAGAAAACAGTGTTGCGGGCGGCCCCTCCGCTTTTGTAAGGTCTTGGTTGGTGTTTCATTTGCTTCGGCATTTTCAAGTTGCCATGCAAAGAACAGCACGTCCAAGCTGGGTGCCGAGCCGGGAGCCTGCAACAAATTCCGCTAGTTTGAGTCACGTCTAAAACATGTCGTCGCATCGCGTTCCCTACGCTGACGCGTGCCTGGCGCAACGCGTCAGCCGAATGTTGGGTTGCGCCATGCATGGGCCTAGCGCGACCCTAACGCCTGGACCTCGGAAACGAGGCAAGGGCCTTAGGAGCCCCTCCCACGCGCCTTACGTGCCGAATATAGGCATGCCTGTAGTTTTGCGGCCTTCTGTGAGCTACAAGACTACCAAGAGCGTAAGGGAATCTTCACCACAGCCTGCTGCGAAGGAACAACCTGTTCTCGAACCTGTTCGACAACTGCTGTCTCCATACGCTTGTGTAATCAAAACACATGGACATGAAGCGGTGATGATTGAACCAAGGCTTATGGCAATGCTTACGCATCATGTTCCCTCAACATCTGCTTAGGCCGCGTTACGCCTATGCAGCATCTGCTTACGCAACAGGTTGACATGACAAGGGTCCTTATTAAACATGTACACCGAGGTTTTAGATGTTGCGTTGGTGGTCTATCCCATTCCTGGCCTGGGGTTTTCATTCCAACGTGCGCCGTGGAATTTGGCCATCCACAGTTGACTGGGCAACATTCAGCATTCCCAAGCTGGCAGAATGGACTCCCGCTGCACTCCCCCCCTGGCCGGTAGCCAAGTAACGCACCAGGGGGAGACCAGCTGCATGGGGCGAATGGCCAACTCCCAGCTGAGACCCCCGGAGATGCTCCTAGGCTGGTTGGTTGGTTGGCTTGGTGGGATTGGAGGGAAAACACGACACCACCTGGGTGGGCGTTGGTGCTGAAGACGAAAAGTGCAGCAGGAGAATGGAAGAAGAGGCGCCTCTTGTTGGATGATAGGGGGCAACTAAATTAAAGCAAGCTGGCGCCCCTATTCGGAGAAACACCCAGATATCCAACAGTCATATTTGCTTGGCGCTTATTTGCTACTTGCAAGAAGGACGCTGTGCATTTGGGGACTTCACAAATGGTTGCTCCAAAGTCCCTACCGGGGTTGGCGTCCCTGGTGAAGGGTAACCAAACTAGGTCCTCCAGTAGAGAGGTTAGAATAAGGGTACCCTTTTTTCTGTAGTCTGCTTTAGTGGGGGAACCCTCCCCCAAAAAAGGGTAAAAGGGCACTACTGGGGGACCTAGCAAAGGAAATCAAACCAACTTTCTGCTGGACAAATCCTTTCGATGCTCAGGCCACCGATTTGTGTTGCACGGAGCAAATGGGTGCAGAGACTGGAAAGCACTTATCTCCTGCGGCGGTTCACGGGTTCAAGATGATGCTCACAATCAACATGGGGGCCGGCAATGTCAAGCAACGTGCGCTCTCTCTCTCTCTCTCTCTCTCGCTCTCTCTCTCTCTCTCTCTCTCTCCCGCTCTCCCTCTCTCCCTCTCTCCCTCTCACAGCTTTAGCTTCCACAGCAGTACCTACATAACTCACTTTCTACTTCTTACACGCATACATCTGCACAACTGCGATAATTCACAAACAGGGCATGTATAAGGAATCCGCATGTAAAGAAGCATAAACGCGCATGAGCTCGTTCAAGTGAGCTTGTTGAGATTTGTGCAGATGGTTGCCCAGCCTTCAACAAACACACCTGCAGTTCTCACCACTGCCAGCTGAGTGTCATAAACAGTGTCAGCATCGAAGTGTACAAGTTGGACCAATACAACTCGAGGTCACTGAGCACGTCGGCGTGCACACCTCGCCAAGCATCTGCGAAAGTGCCCATAGCGCAGAGGTTAAGATCTACAGACCGCGCTCCATCACAAGCTTTCTGATTGCTAACAACTCATCGCGATCAGGAATCGATAGTGAACCACGTCCGACACAAAAAGGTTTCCCAAAGATGCCGATGCATTCCATATCTACCCATGCCCCTGACTGACAGCTGCCAACTGACAGCCATATGGCTGTGGGTCAAAACCAATGGGATTCCATTTTGGGGTAGGTGAATTCACCAACCATTTTGGGCTTTATTTTAGTGGTTGGATTGGGATGTTCACTGGGGGTACGGGCTTTGGATTTTGACCCTGGAACCATATCCCTCCAGCTCAGGTTCTTGCCAGCATGGAGCTCCTCTTCTATCAGGAACATCACAGCCGCTTGGGTAAAGACAATGCCAAACCTGGGCCGCGAGTGGCAAGGCCAATATGGCTCAAAAATGGGCACCCAAAATGGAACACTGGTAAATGGAACCAAGGACTAAAACCTGCGCTCCCCATGGTGATTTAATTTTGACCCACACCCCATATCTGCCAAGGTCCAGGTCGCATTCGGAACCCGGGAAACAAGCTTGAAGGTGCTTGACGCCATTGGAATTCTTCGTTACATGGAAGATATCCGAGGTTGGTACACCCCCTCAATTGGAACCTCGTGATTCGGATGCTGTTGGAGACAACCATCCGGAATTTAAGCTCTTCAAGAGGTGCATGACCCATCTCATTGACTCCAAGTGCCAACTCTTGTTGCAACTATTGAAGCTGGCACGTCAGATCCGGGCTCTATCACACGAGCCAAGCAAACCCCAAATAACGAGCGGCGCGTAGATGATCAGGAATAAGAGCACCAGCGCCCAGACCAATGATTTGAGCGTGAAGACGATGGAGGTCACCAACGTCCGCAGGGCTTTGATGAAGCCTGCAAGCCGAAGGGCGACACAGCTGGTTGAGCTGACTGCACGTGTGCAAGCGCGAATGTCTTCAGGTCCAGGACTGCAGTCTGGTTCAACGTTTCGTGCTCGACCCCCCCCTTCCCCCTCCCAACCATAGCTCAAAACGCTTGGGATAAAATGCGGGACATGACTACTGTACAGCTTGAATACTGTATTGCGCAAGTGGGCAAAGGGCAAGTCCGAGTGAAATTGGAAGGAGCGAACCGGCCGCTCGTCCCGTTGGCCACATGCTGTTGCGACCACAAGTGCCTCCTTTGCCAGCTTGCTTCAGACACCCGGGACGCTCACTGGTCAAATTCGCTCAGCCTGTTTTCCGTGGGCAGGTTCCTTCTGTTTGCGGGAGGCAGGTACGTAAGAGCTGCCAGACGGAGCACACAGCCAGAAATTCCAAACGTGCCCAGTTTTGAGTTCTTAGAAATATGTTGAGACAGGAAGTTTCGCCAATTGGCAATCTGAACGCAGGAGTCCAGTTCGGGCAGCTTCAGCCGCTTGCTCGCGAAAAGTGTTTCCAAGATCCATCAGGATATCTTTGCGATTTCAGAGTGCACATCAGCAGACTCAGGTAGTTGTATCTCCAAAGGCATGAACCTGCTCCGGAACAAAAACATTTGGGTGTGTCAAAAATAGGTACCCAAAATGAACTCTGGTAAATGGAAACATGGACTAAAACCTGCGGTCCCCTAGTGGTTTAATTTTGACCCACACCCATTTGACAACCGCCACCACGTACTGTAGCAGCAATCAACGTAGCTCCCCTGCAGCCAAGCTTGCTGCTCCCCAAGCTCTTTACAGACTGGAGCAGGAGTCCGTGGAGCAATGGCAATGACCACTGAAGCCAGGAACGAAACTCGCACAGCGTTGCTTCAGCCACGGCATTGGATATTGGAGATCTAGTTCGACCCAGGCAGACCAATAAGCATGTAATGTGTAAATGTTCACATCCCAGAGCGGACACAAGCAAACCAAACCATCGGGCACGGTAACTTGGCACATCCACAAGAGAGGATTGCAAGCTAGGGGTAAGATCACAACTGCACAGGCTGACGCCAAGCATGTGCTAGTTGTGCCAGCATTTTTGTTTTTTGTTTTTCTGCGTCTGCGTATGTATTTGTTTGTGTGTGTGTGTGTGCACAGTTGAGTGACAAAAAAGCCGATCTGTCAGCGAGCGTCAATATCCCCCACCCCGCCCCAAGAGCAAAAACACCCAGGGAAACTATCAACACGTCCCTACATAGACTCCACAAGTCACTGCGGCAAATCTGTAGTATGCAGCAATACTAGTATGCACTGTAAGATATACACCTGACTGAAGGTTACACCTGCCTGAAGGTTGACTTATGTGCTCGTCCGCAACTCGGTATCCCAGGGACAAAGGCATCAAGCATCTACATTTCTGCACACGCTGCAAGGCAAGGGAGTGGCAATGCCGGCAGAACATCGGCCAACAATGCGAACTCTGGATGTATGCGACGTTGGCACTACTCAGGAATGGCTCCAAACTGTGTACTGCCCTTACACGCCCTTACTTTGAGCAGGGATGCCTCGAACTCATTCTATTTTCACGTTGCTCACTGATGTTCGCTCGCAGCAATTACGGGCAAAAACACGGGGACCCTATTAAAACAAGGACACACCCCAAATGCGAATGCGAACCATGGACGCCAAGCAGCGCGTGATCCGCGCGATGCGAGTGAGCCGCACTAGCCGGGTGATGCGCACGATTCGCAAGACCCGGAGGTTTGATAAGCTCTCCACCCCCGAGGGAGGGGAGGCCTCAAGCGCTCGGCTGCGCTCAAATTGGGAAAACACCCCTCAAGGAGTGTGGAGAACATTCATCTGGGCAGAGGTCGCCTTTTTGGGCGACCCCGCAAAATGTTGGTTTTCTTGTTGGTCACCCTTTAAACCCCATCAAACACAAGGTACCCTTTAAAAAAAGAGACACCCCCCCGTTTGCGAAGAGCCCAAGCACCCAAGGGAACGGATGGCAATCATGAGCTAGTATGTGGTGAGTCCAGCTAAATTTTCTTCCGGGTCCGCAGAACAGCATAGGGCCCGCAAAACCATGTAGCATCACGCTATGACTCACTGGCCAAGGGCAAACATGGAACATGGAACTCCTGGAATCATCCATAGCCCAACTCAATGTTGGAATCTGGGTAAAGTATGATAATTCATCGACCCAACTGGGTGCCCTATGGAAGTAGCCTTCTCACGGGTGCGACCCGGATGTCTCTTGCATCCCAGGCTCGGCGTACAGGAGTGCCATGACCACCTAGGGCAAATCTTAGGCTCCCCTCCTCTATTGGGCAGCTCCAAGAAAAAGAAAGGCAAGCAAAAGTGGAAATTTTGGCAAGGGCCCTTTGAGTGAGGCAACTTGAGTAACGTCTCTGTGAAGTTTGCTCGCGCACGGCAGTTGCTGACGCTTGAACGTTCACGCTGGGTTGCACCGAAGAGCCACTGGTATGACAAAACTCGCATGACTTCAAAGAGCTTGGAACACCGAGTGCATGGAACAGGTCAAACAGGAATCTCAAATTAAGCCCAGCTTATGCAACAGGGATTCGTCTGCACCAACAAAGACCTTCGGAGAAGGGGACACCTAGCCAAAAGTCAGAGGTGCTCACAGTTATCACAGTGGCCCTTGGCTTCAGTGGCCTACAAGTCACCCAGCCCGAGCAATAAAAAGCACCACAAGCCCAAGGACTTACTATGAGAGCCTAAATAAGGTACCAAACTACCTCATAATCAAGGGATTCTTCGTGTTTCTAATCATTTAGCCCCTACCTTGAAAGACCTCGCCGAGAAGCGTTGTGTGGGATCTCTCCATATGCCCGATCTTGCTGGAGGGTTGCGCTTTGGGTCTTTACGGTGTGCAAAAAAACCAGGGACACATGCGCTCGGGTCGTCGTCTTGTCCCCGCGTTCCAGAGCCTTTGTTTTGACACATTTAGTCATTGGAGTCATTGAAGGAAACCTGGGCTTTTGGAAGGAAGCCTTGGAGGAATCCGGGCTCGGTGTCTGCCATTTGCAGCACGCAAAGGCTTTGAACACACAGAGCCTCTCGGCAATGCTAGTACACGCTGCAGCAACACTTTGTTCTTGAATCTAACAACCTGATGATCGATGGCTTTCGTTCTTGTCAGGTTTCTAGCAGAACCAGAAGAGGATTTGGATCAACTCCAGTTTCATCGTTTCACCTTGCGCCATGGCTTCATCGCTAGACATATGTGAGGAACCCAGGCGGAGACCATGCAAAGCCATGTCTCTGGGCCGGCGGTCAGAGGCTCAGCTCAGCAGCCGGCAGTCACACTGCCGCGCCTGGATACTCGTCTCGGTGATCGCGCTGACCACGATGACGAAATCCATCCAGTTCCAGACCCAGGACTTGTCGTCCGTGAAGAAAGTGCGACCTCAATCGAATGAATCCACCGACCACCGGATCTTGCCTGGAGAAATCGAAGCACTCACCAATCCAACCATCCTGCCTAACTGAATGAGAAGCGCCGCACCGAACTTAATCGCGTGTCCATGGATACCTTTGTCACCATTCAAAACAACAATGCGTTTGGTGCTGTCCATGATGCTGTTGTTGTCGTGGCACCAGCAGAAAGGCTGCTGCTGCTGCATCAGTGCTGCGGCCGTGGATGCGGCTGTGCTGTTGTCTTTGTCTTTCCCGCAAACATCTGAAAGCCATAGTGGTTCCGGGTGCTGTTCCAGGGTGCGCTGATTCGCAGGGTACGGTTGCGTGGTGATGGGCCAGGGTGCGACTAGGGATTCTAGCTGTGTGCGCGTGGCTGTTTCTGTCACTGTGTCTGTGTTGCGTGCGTTTACGCGTGGGTGTGTGCGTGTGACAGAGAGAGAGAGAGAGAGAGAGAGAGACAGAGACAGAGACAGAGACAGACTGCCTGCGCGCGTGCGTGCCCGCACGTGTGCGCGCATGCGTGCTTGCGAGCGCGCGGGCGGGCGGGCGGGCTCGCGCATGTGTGTGTGTGTGTGTGTGTGTGTGTGTGTGTGTGTGTGTGTGTGTGTGTGTGTGTGTGTGTGTGTGTGTGTGTGTGTGTGTGTGTGTGTGTGTGTGTGTGTGTGTGTGTGTGTGTGTGTGTGTGTGTGTGTGTGTGTGTGTGTGTGTGTGTGTGTGTCTGTGTCTGTGTCTGTGTCTGTGTCTGTGTCTGTGTCTGTGTCTGTGTCTGTGTCTGTGTCTGTGTCTGTGTCTGTGTCTGTGTCTGTGTCTGTGTCTGTGTCTGTGTCTGTGTCTGTGTGTCTGTGTGTGCGTGTGCGTGTGCGTCTGTGTGTGTGTGTGTCTGTGTGTGTGTGTGTGTGTGTTTGTGTGTGTGTGTGTGTGTGTGCGGGCGTGTTTGCTTATTCCTTTGGCTGCCTACCTGCCTACCTGCCTTGTGTGTCTTACTAGCAGGCTTGGGCACTGGCTTGCTGCCTCACTCGCTCCCAAAATTGCTTGTGTGACCGTTTGCTTGTCGGATCGTTGCAATTGATTGGCGTGATGTGATGCGCTGTGATGTGCTTTGTTGTGCTTTGTTGCAGCGTGTTGTGGTGTTTGCGTGTGTCTGTGGGGTGTCCTGTGTCTCTCTCTCTCTCTGCCTCTGTCTCTGTGTCTGTCTCTGCCTCTGCCTCTGCCTCGGCCTCTGTCTCTGCCTGCGCCTCTGTGCCTTTGCGTCTGCCTCTTCTCTCTCTCTCTCTCTATCTCTCTCTCTCTCTCTCGCTCTCTCTCTCTCTCTCTCTCTCTCTCTCTGTCCGTCCTTTTGTTTGGTTGCCTGCTTGTGTTTGTTCGCCGCGCTTGCCAGCTTGCCTGCTTGCCTGCCTGCTTGTGAGTGGTCTCTGTTGGTTGCTTGGTTGGTTGCCAACTTGTTGCGTCCTCGGCCTAGACTACTTCTGACTTTATCACGTGCGGCTTGTTTGATCAGTCAAAGCCGTTTGAACATGGCTCGCAATGAACTGGCTTTGGGTTTTTCAACATCAGTTCAGTGCGACGGCGATAGCGCCTCATGGCAGCTCCTAAGAACCCTGCCATCTGCAACAAGGCGAAGCGAGAGTTCCACCTTGGATGAAGGCACCATTGGATCAGGAGTGTTCTGCGAGAGCTCTGAGCATCCTGCTACATGGAATGGTGGTAGAGAAACATACTCTTTAGTAGGTACAGGGTTTGTCTAGTTCAAGTGTTGATTCCTTTTTGAGGAACATGACAGGCTGCAACGAACATATCCACCCTACAATAAGTGACATCTCGTTTGTTACAAGTACAAGACCACTTGGGCTCGGGCGGTAAAGAGCACATTGAACAGCTGTCCTACAACCTGAGCATCGTGGTTGCAAGCATCTCCCAAGCCAGTCCAAATGCTTGATACCTACTGTTGACTCACGAGATCCTGCACCGCTTTGTCATGGGGAAAAAAAATCTCGCGCTCCCCAGGTAACGTTGGAAGGTTAAGGGCCCTTGTTTGCAAACATTTTGGACTGACCGAAATCCTGCACCACCTTTTGCGAGTGCCAACAACATTGAAAAGGGGGAGCGGGGTGCGCAGCCTGTTCAGTGGAAGAATGGAGTTGGCAGAGGCGGTGCAGGATTTCGTCTGTCAACCGTATTAGCTGTCATTTGCAAAACTCAGCAGCATAGTGGCATCAGCCCTGCATGCCATTCTTGGTAAGTGAGGGAAAGTCCAAGTCCCGTTTTGCATGCAAGCCACTCGCAAGTCAGCAAGCACAGCTGCACTTTCCAACTCTTGATCGGCACTGAAAGGGGATGTCTCACAGTTGCGACTTGTTTGTTCAAACAACTACAAGGAACTCGGCCATTGTGGACCTGACCTGCTTTTGACACGTTGCCATTTCGCACGCATGCAAAGATGAACCTTGTGGCCAAAAACCAGGCTGATGGTGACAAACGGGTTCAAAAGGGGCATCCACAAGAACAGGCCCTCGCACACACACACACACAACACACAAACAAAAACAAACACAAACACAAAAACAAACACAAACACACACACACACACAGGCAGACACTGAGACATGTAAACATAGACACAGAGAGAGAGAGAGAGAAAGACGCACCAACACACCAAAGGAACAACACACACACAAGCACAAACATAAAGATACGTGTACCAAAGACGGTCACAGTCAAAGGAGGGCCGCCCTCGGCGAGATTTCGGCAAGCCCTCTCTTGGACCAATGAAGAGGTTGACGCTTCTGTGCTGAGGCTGGGTGATTCTCGACTACTCCAGCATCGCACGTCTCTCTGCCTTCGGAAACTCAAAGATAGGCTTTGGACACAATCTGCGGAAGGCAGAAAGAACCAATAATGTGGGTCGATGCTGCTTGCCAACGTCAACAAGCTTTTCGGCTCCTTTCAACACGCAAATGCCAATAGAAACACAACCATGCCCAGGAGGCCAACAGGTGCAAATCAATCGGCTTGTTGCTGGTCAATGGGGAAATGGTAGCTCCCAAAAGGAGCAAAAAGGAAAATCGGTTGACAGCACGAGGGCCAATACATGGGTGAATTCGTCACAAAACCGACTCAACCGGGGTTGGATGCACCCATGCCCCCTAAGAAAGTCATGAAGTACATGGTATCAGGGGCACCAAAACATGTGGTTAGATCCAAAGCCGACTGTGCCTTCCCCCAACGCTCCGCGCCTCCATTGCAACAGGGCTAGGCCCTGTCCAGACCGTGCTGAAGGAACGACCCAATGCTGCCAATGCTTGTCAAACTATGAACCTCGTTGTGGGCCCCTTTAGAGGCGGCTAACAGGATACAGTCCCAAAAAGAGTCCGTATGTTTGGACAACTCTCTCTACTGGCACAACTCTGGGATTTTTCTGGCCTCGTTCCCCCCCCACCCCCCGCCCCCTGAGCAATAGAACAGACTTTCCTCCAGAGATTCAGGTGCAGGCAGGGAGAAAACGAAAACAAACCGCGGGTTCAAGCTGCAACCTGATGTCAACTAAAATAGTTCGGGCCGGTTGGAGCTTCTCAGCACTTTTGCCCAACTAGGACTCCAAAGCAGCAACGTTCTTGTCGTTCAACTGCCTCGCGAGGTTCGGGGCTATCTGTGCCACAACCTATTCTACTTCCACAAGGAATTGCCCAGTCAGGAGGGAAGAACGTAATTTGTTTTCCGTCGACCATGTCCGGTGGTGGAAATCAACTGAAGCCAGGGAAAACAAACAAGCAGGGGTGGGGAGGGGGACCCAAACGCACTGAACCGCAGATTAGGCCGGCTTTCCTCTCCGGATCCATTCGGCATGCCTGGGTGGTTCACGAAATACTCGACCTCCGCTCCGATGAAAATGGCGTTGGCGATGATTCCGATAGCGAAAAATACCTCGAAGGGCCTCAGGCATCTGCTACATGTGTGTTGCCCGCAAGAGAAACCGGCGCCTTGTGTAGGATGGTTGTGAAGCTCTTAGGCTTGGAAAGTTTAGGGCATTTCTGCTAACCCCAATCAATTAGGCGCTTCCTTTGATTCACTAAGCTCGGACAAAACTATCTGGTTTTGCCACGGGCAGGAGCTTGATATTAGGACACATCAGGGGTCGCAAGCAGGGAGACAAATCGAAAACAAACAAAAAGAGTAGGGACAGAAGTGGGGAAACAAGTGGTGAGTCATTGCGCGCGTTAGTGTTGTTCTGCAGCGTCTTCTTTGGCTTTGTGTCCTCCTGGCCCAGTCCCTTGCCAGGCGCACGGCAAGCACCATAGCGCTGGGCAGTTCGCTTCCTGCCACCGGCGTTTAAGTGCACCTTACTTGACTTCAAGGACTGTTCGTCTATGATGGCACGCAAGTGGGAGCTCCGCCACCGTGCGCTGTGTTTGTGGTACTTCCGGGCAAAAGCCCGCCTGGCTTTCACATGCTCAAACTTCTCTCGCAACTTGTGCTTTTGCTGACAAGCTTGCTTGACAAGAAGCCGGATAAGGCAAGACTTGAATGTCTAGACGAAATGCCATTTTGGATGGCTGTAGACCTTCGTCATGCCTCGTCTTGGCGAGGCGCGCTTCCTCTGCGCTCATCTTCCTCCCCAAAAAATGGGGCTGAGCAGTGGGAGCACCAGAGCAGACATCTCCTTGCGCTACTGCGGCGAGCAAAGCAACACTGTGGACAGGTTCGAGTTTTTCCTTCGCTTCCAAACATAAGAAAATGTATTGGGCATGACCAGCATCAAGGTAGAGGGATGCGAGCCCCACGCGCCAAGTTCCAAGTTGAGCAATGACGCGTGGGGGGTAGCGCAGGACTTTCTCCTCAATCGCACTGTTGGACATGTGTACCTTCCAAACAACCGATACTAAGTTGGCAGCGCGAGGTTTCACAAAACTGCTTTCGTTAAGGTGGTGCAACAGTTCTTTCGTCAACTGCAAGGAAGTTGGCATGCTCTGCCAAGCACTCGTCGACCGTCTGCCAGGACCAGACAGCATCAATTGCCAGCTGCGAACGGTTCTTGAAGGCGAAGGCAACCAAACTCGGGAAGCCACAGTTTTTCAAGGCGGACACCAGCCGCTCTGCCACGTTGCAGTTGTTGCCTGTCTCCCCACCTGTCTCCCCCACTTTTCTGCCTGCGTGTGCTTGCTGGCTCACTTCTTGTCGCGGCTTCTGCGCGAGGGGTTGTGTTGTTTTCGCTTCTTTTCCACAGACCTCGCCCACCCCACACCCACTCCCAACCCAGGGTCCCACCTCGCAAATGCTGCAGTCAAAGAAGGCGTTGGCATGCCCCCCCCCCCACGCCAAACCGAAAGTGAACAGCTTCTTCATACTGCACGCAGTCAGGTGGACGCCAACCTTTGCCCTGTGGGTCAAAATAGAGTCCCAAGAAACTCACTACAAATACCTCAAGAGTGTGTCCCTGAATCTGCTCCGACACAAGAATCTGGTGGGCATGGGACACGAAGTGGCCAAGTCCGTTTGCACGTGTAGGTGTGTAGGTAATCCCAAGTGCTATGCGGTCTCCCAGCAAGATTTGCACATGTGGAGTGTTTCAGTCGCACCCAAACCTGACAAATGCCTTATCCTCAGATGGAACACGATCCCCTCGTGGGTTTGCTACCAAAAACATCAACCAAACGCCGACGATTTCCGGGCAAAAGAAGGCCACAGGAGGACGGTGGGCTCCTTTTGCCCCTCAAACAAATGGCCATGGGTCAAAAGCCCGTGCCCCCATGGGTGGTGCACCTACCCCAAAATGGTACCATTGGTTTTGACACAGCCAAATGTGACTTCGACTTTTTTCTTGCGCTCCGAGGTGCACGGACTGCACCAGGACTTTCAGCCTCCCTCGCCAGCCCTTCGGGAAGTCCGAGTTCCGCGTCGTGCGCCTTCTCACCCTCGGACCGAGAGAGTGCAAGCGAGAAGAAGCCAAGCGCGGACCAGTACTAGTCAGGAACCATGGCCTAGTGAACCAACGAAAAACATGGCAACACATGATTTGTCACATGGGGACCAGACGTCATTTGACAACCTCTCAACATGTTCACTTCACCCAGGCAATGGCAGTGACGATCTTCTCTGATGTTTCACACTAGAGCCACACACGTAGCCACACAGAGTCACACATGAGACCACAGCGAAACAAGGCAACTGCTGGGGCCGCAAGAACTGATAGCTCATGTGGGTACTTGTCAAACTAAGGCACCCTAAAACGGATGGTTTTCCTTTGGCTCCCCTGACAAAACAACCATCCAACAGGGCTCCACCTGCACGACCGTAGCCTTGGGCCCTCGTGGTTCCTTATGCTTGAGAAAACGCATCAAGGAGAGTGTGAGTCTTGCTCTTGAGCCCTCAACATGTCGAAAAACCTTGCCAATAAGTCGCCTTTTTAACGCGAGCGCAAAACCAGAGCCAGCGCTTGTTTGTGGGAGCCCACGAAGCCTGAACTGGTTTTGATTGGATTTATTGCAAACCCTCAACGTGAACTCGGGTGGTGAACGAGGGACAGCGCAAGGAAAGCAAAGGACATGAGTCGAGGTCCAAACTCGTTCTGAAGTTGGTGGAAGCAAGGCATAGTTCCTGAAATAGGATTGTTGGTGTCAACTTTCTTTTGCTAAACACGCAGTTTGAAGAAGTTGATGACCACGGCTCGTGACTCTCAACTTAAAACATTTGTGTGTTGGTCTAGGTGTGAGAATCGCACAGGGAACGTACAGCACGAACACGCAACACTGGAAATGTGTGGGCGTGTACTCTTGCAACACGTAACCCAGCTGAACCTGCTCCAGATCTCTATATGGGTATGGCTCAAAATTAAAGAGCTAGGGTTACGCAGGTTTTGGTCCATGTTTCCACTTGCCAGGGTTCCAGTTTGGTACCGGTTTTTTGAGCCACAGCCATATTATGACAACTATATTTACTTGGGCCCGGGTCTAAACCACATCGACTAGTACGGTTTCCACCGTGGCTTCTGGGCCACAATAAGCATCCAATTTCGGGAGCAGGAGTTGCTGGGCTGGGAGCAGCAGAATCACTGGTTTCCCCAGAAGGACATGGGTGTTGCGCCTAGCTTTTGTGGGCACCTTGCGTGGCCCCCCCATCCTCCCCGATCCGATGGTAGACATTGACATATCTGAGCCCTTGGAGCCAGGCGTGTCGGACTGTGAGGCGTTGCCTCAAAACCCGGGATTTGTCGTCACTGGCAGACACCAATTAGTTGCAACCTCTATGGCCTCTGATGCTTGCAAGTCTGCAAAAAGACTCAGCCTTGTGCGACCTCAAACCCATATTGACCAATGCACTCGCAAGGCAAAGGATGTTTGCCCCGTTTGGGGTGTCTAAGCACTGGGCTGCGAAGAGCCTCTTCATCATCATCATCTGCATCCTCTAATTCCCACTGAGATGCCAGGTTCTTCAGGCGCGCGTCCTCACTCAAAGCCACTTGGCTAACAGCTTGAGACTCGTTGATTCCGCCCCCAAAGAATGCAAGGGCCCTTTGAAAGGGGCCTAACAAGGGGACGTGTCGGTTGGCTCAGTATAGATTAATCCCCAAAGCGGTTTGCACTGGCTGCCCGTTGCAGCCGGCCAAACAAGCTTCACCCACAAATCAGAAACACATTGCCCCAGCTGGCATCAGACAGTTCAAAACGGCCAACAATGCAATTCGGTGGGACCTCTGTTTTCCCCCAACAGCGATAGGTCTTGAGTCAATGGGCCGCTCTCTGTTTTGCGGAAAGGGAGCCTCGTGGAGCCACGGTTCTTCAAAACTTCCAAGGTTCCAGGGCTGGGGATCGAGATACCCTCCCAAAAACAAAACAAAAAAGAACCTGAAAGGGACGACCTGGAAGAACCTTTTCAGGCGGTTTCATTTGTTGGGAGGCTACTCCTTCTGATCTTTATTTGGGGAGTGAGCTCCATGGGCCAAACACAATCGGCCTATGAGCCACTGGAGATGCAGGGGCGGAGGCAGAACCCTTGTCACCAGAAGGTCCTCACTCCAAGGGTCTTTGCGTTTATTTGATTGAGCCAACCGCAAGGGTCGCCTTGATTTTTGCTTTGCGCAAGTGGAGCCAATGGACACTTTGTGTGGCTGTTTCAGCATGGGCGCTTCCTGAAATAGGAAGCCTGAAGTTGCCGGTTTCCTCTTGGCCCTTAGAAGGGTCTGCACAGGTTCTGCGAAAACAGAGGTTGGTGCAGTGTGTGCCTCGTCAAAAGTCAAAAGGCTGGCTCCCGGTGGAAAAACACACACACAACACAAACAAACCGCAAGGTACTCCCCGGCAGATTAACATGCCTCAAAGGAAAGAGAGATCTCCTCGTGGACGCTCTTTTTAAGGTTCCATGATAACTTGTGGGGAGGAAGAGCTGGCCAACCATTCCCTTGGTTTTTTGACGACCCAAGTCGTTGTCGCAACCGTTAGTTCGCAGTCCACCTATCTGATCTGTTGGGACAAATTTCGTCACAAGGGTCTTAAGTGTGACGCAAATAGTGTCCAGGTGCTTCAGAATCATATCAAAACAGACTCCAAACGGTCGGCTTCCTATTCCTCTTAAAACTTATCTACTTGGATACGTACCAAGGACTTGGAACATTGTTGCTGTCAGGTGTTTCTTTGGACTTTAACATCAATTTGCGGCATTAGCTGTTCAGTTTGTTGTTCTAATCAATCGGCGGAAGCGAGCGTATGGTTTACCGACGAATCTCCGCCCGATGTGTGAAAGATGTTTCCCTGGCTGGCTTGATCATCCCCCCGCGCAACTCCAAGCGAAAAAAAGACACACACACACACACAAACAACACACACACACACACACACACACACACACACACACACACACACACACACACACACACACACACACACACACACACACACACACACACACACACACACACACACACACACACACACACACACACACACACACACACACACACACACACACACACACACACACACACACACACACACACACACACACACACACACACACACACACACACACACACACACACACACACACACACACACACACACACACACACACACACACACACACACACACACACACACACACACACACACACACACACACACACACACACACACACACACACACACACACACACACACACACACACACACACACACACACACACACACACACACACACACACACACACACACACACACACACACACACACACACACACACACACACACACACACACACACACACACACACACACACACACACACACACACACACACACACACACACACACACACACACACACACACACACACACACACACACACACACACACACACACACACACACACACACACACACACACACACACACACACACATTTTGTGCCTTTGAGGTTCAAGCTGTTCAGCAGGAATCAAGGCTGACCCCATCCAAGCGGAGAAGCCTATTGGATTAGTCAGTGCCCTGAAGGCCTCGTGAAGAACTGACCGCTTGGTTCGTGTTCCAAGCAACCGCCCTCGCCTGCTCCGTGATGCTGCGGAAAATGCGGGGCTCGGCTTCGCCTCTGATCATGCCAGGCACACTCCCGAGGAATGCTGGACTGCTGAACCCAGCAAACTGGAGGGTGCCGAATTGAAAGGGTCTGACAAATTGACAAATGAAGTACCCATCTCCTCTTCCAAAAAGTAAACACATACAAAACAGAAGCCAGCGTCACCTGTCACTTCCCTTCCAAACTCCAGAAAAGAGAGGGGAGCCATTTTCTGAGACATGAACGGCCAGACAAACTGCATGGAACAGCGTCACTCAATGCGCGACGCTCGGCAAGGAACTCAATGCCACGAGCTACGAGATCAACTGCCTTAACTGGGGATCCACAAACACGGGCTTCCCGAAAAAAAGCGATCGACCGAGATGTGAACCCATTTATGGACTCCCCGTGAAACAGGCCATTTGACACGTGGGAGCCGTGGTTCCTCTGTTGCCATGTTGTGAACATGACCAACTGGCCTTGCTCGTTGACTTCTGCCTCCTCCCCGTTGCGGAACAGGTGTGAGAACTTTGTTCACATGCTCCGCGACATTCAAGGTGATTTCGGATTGATCGATCAATGCCCTCCTTTGAGCCAGGCACCCACTTTCTCCATGCTGACTGCAACCTCCATGATCCTCGACTCCTGACAGGAGCGTTCCTCGTTGAAACTGGTTGGACCCTTCAAATGCGCCTGAAAACCGAGTGGGTTTGCTCAGGTCCCTGCACATTGTGGGCGCTTGTGGGCCTGTGGGGTCGAGTACGCCTAAGCAATGGGCCCCATCATCACTCACACAATGGGGGACCAAAACGACCATGGCACCAATGGCCAGGCCCACTGAGATATTTGACCTGCCACGCGGGCTGTACTTATTAACTCGATCTGCAGTTGACGGGAGGAATAAACCTTCGTCCGAGCGCGGGAAAACGGCATGGGACTGACAACTTGGGGACCAACTGCAACTCACAAGGCCAGTGAAAGCGCTCCGTGTCCCAAACGTCGGAATCCTGCGCGGGAGCATGGAGAGCTGCAGAAAAGCGGAAGGACGGGAAATACCATAAACTTTGGAGACCAAAACATTCCACATGTGGATGAGGATATTTTGATTCCAAAGACTTAGGCCTTGCCAAACATCCGATTCTCGCTTGGTGTATTTGCAAGCGTGTGCACCCGCATTCATTCACACGCACATTCATGCAGTCACCCCCACACAGGCACACCACCTACGGACAGTCGCTCTCACTCTGAAGTCCAACTCATGCGCAATGAGTCCCACTGCCTAACTAACTGTCACTTACCCTCTCGCTCACACTAAAACTCACGCAAGGGTCTCTAATTCACACTTGAACTCCCTCAGATATGCACACCACAAAAACATCCCTGCCACTCTTTGTTCTTCAGGATGTGTGGTATCATTATGCAAGCAAAGTAACAGTATGACACTGCCTGCTTTGAGTGGTATCACGGCGCGCTTTGAGTGCTAGCAATTATGCTGCAATCAGACCTTGACGAGCTATATAAGCACTATCAAGCAGCAAATCATTGCTTGGAAGATGTTGGGAGAACAAGCTAAGCATCTTGCTATTCTGATTTAATTGGCTCATTCAAACCGTCAGAGACTTGTTTTTATACCAATGCAAGTTACCGAGAAAGAGTGTGAGTTCCTCAGTGCATGACAGCACCAATTACATGAGAGGGGTACGTCTGACAAAGGTTGGCTTACCTGATCCTTCAATGATGTTCGACGAATCCGTTGTGCCACCCCTTGCCTTGGAACATCTAACTAGCAGGGATTGATGGAAAAAGGGATGCAGGAGGATTCCCTTGTAGTCATTTACCTTGAAACTAAGTCTGAGTGCCCGTCAGGGGAATCAGACTTTCTCCAATCCCTGCTCCCCTCATGTCCCTGCTCATTGGCTCTTCTGAGCGCCTTTTGACCATGGCATTGCGCTGTTGGTGACAGTTCAATGTGGGGAAGTGCTATATTCGATGAGGAAAGGTCAACGATAAGCTTGCTTCCCTACAGATTGCGAAGCGTGTGCGGTGAGTTTCTTCTTTTCCCATAGTGTGTGGTTTGTACACTTGTAATACGCCAGGGACAATACAAGTGATTGTGACCTATATTCATTGCGCTTGTGCCATTTCAGCTCAAACGGTCTTGCTTTGACACATCCCTCTGAGCCCAATATTATTCGCTTTCCGCAAGGACATGGGACAATTGGTTTGGTGATTTGGGTGTTTCTTGCAAGTCTCGGCGGGCCCATGCCCTTCCGAAACTGACAGTATGCTACCAGTAGCAGCTTGCACATTCATGAAACGGGATTGAACCACCACAGAAGCGGGGGCGTGCAACCTCAAGCAGCATGCGAGGGAGCCATGTAAGTAAAGAAGTTCTGTAGGAACAGACTGCTGGTAGCCACATGAGAACCAAAACAAAGCCTTTCTCCGGCGGTTGATTTTGAAGGAGAACCCCCAAGAATGTGTGTTGTTCTCATCGAAGAGGTCATCCAAATGCACCTTGTAGGAGTTGTTTCAACTAGGGGAACCCTCAAACCCCAAAACGTTCTAACCATGACGCACCCTTGTCCCAAGCCCTCCTAAATACTCCCAAGGCCTGAGTCATGTTCATCGCCTCGTCAACAGCTATTGCCTGCCAATCCATCATGGATCTGCAAAACCCGGGAAGCAAGTTTTACCATGACATGTGGGATCTGGCTTCTGGGATCTGCTTGTTTTGCTCCTTTACAGGGTCAACGCATTCCCTCTTGCCTACACATGGGGGCTTGCGGGGATGTTTTGTGGAATGTCTCCCTTGTCCTCCGTGACATACTGTGCCAACCGGCTCCCGCACCAAATCAGGACAGGGACCCTGGCTGCTTTTTGGTAGCCCTCCTTGCCTGGTTGTGTTTGTTGAACCCCCCTCTGACCCTTTTTTGTGCAAGCATTCAAAAGCAAATCGGTGCTGGATCAAGACTCGGTAGGGTCTTGCACAGTCATACGATTAGCTATGAAGGCAATCAAATGCGAAAACCCTGGTTTGAGATATTCACGGTGTGCCTTTTAGAATGGCTGCTTACTGCTTACTTGCACAATCTATACCTGGTGCAGCATGCTGCACAACAGGTTTCTCTGACTCTCCCGTCACGCCCCAGTCCCGCCGTACCTGTTCACGTTCACAGATCACATCCACGGAATCCTGGAGCGACAGTGATGATGATGATGATGATGATGATGATGATGATGATGATGATGATGATGATGATGATGATGATGATGATGATGATGATGATTATGAGGATGATGAGGATGAGGATGAGGATGAGGATGAGCATGAGGATGAGCATGAGCATGAGCATGAGGATGAGGATCATCATGATCATGATGATCACGAGGTATGACGATTGCGATTGCGATGACAGTTTCGATGACAATGACACAGACGATGATCATTCTGACGTTGATGCTAAACTGACGGCCGGGCGATGAATGATAGTGCAAGTACAAGGTAGAACAGGCAAAGCTGATTTACACCAATGACCACAGTCACTCTGCCAAGAGCGTTTCAATTTCAAGCATTGGACAGCTGCCTCTGGTTCACCCAACTGCTATTAAGAGTCAGGGCCGCACAAACAGATAACACTCCTGCAACATGAGGCGAGCCAAGGGGCAGAAGCCTTCCCATGTTTCGCGAGCCCGTCCTGGAAAGACGGTGAGGCCTTCGAGGATTCTCGCTCATGCTGCGGCTCCGGAGGGTGTTGCACCTGTTAGTCCACCCGAAAGATGCCCCATGCTTCCTGCTGGCATTCCCCTTTGGAAAGCTTAAGGGGGATGACGCAAACCAAATGGGGTACTTTCACCCTGATGTACATCGTTGCCATATTCTGGGTGTTTGCTCTGAAGAGCGCGGGGGAGGGGGGGGGGTGAGCAGGGGGGGGGGAAAAGGGAAACAAGAGGAACATCTAGAGACAAACCCAGATTTGTCCTCTTTTTTCACATCACACACACAAATCTGCCCACGATGTCTTTCAAAGTGACAGGGGACATGGGAAGCCTCTCCAACCCTCGGGCCCAATGAGCGCAGCCCTGAGACAACAGCGTCCTATGGAAGGGAACAGGCTCCCTTTACAGGAGACTAGTCTTCGAAAATGGGTGTGTACATCGAAGGGCATGGGCTTTTATATGTTTAAGACTTTAAGAGTATGATTTGATTCCTCCATAGGTCGGTCAGCTGATGGAAGTTGAATCATGCCAAACCAGAACCACAAATTAAACGTGCCCAGAAGGTTGACTTCCTTGCCATTTTCTGGAACGCCTTGGATTCAATTGATTCCGAACAACAGAGTTGTGACGCGAGATGTCTAGCTTTGTCCTGAGGGGGTGCACCAACTACACTTCACAACAGCTTTCCATAGAAAACTTGTCGTGGAAGGTATCCCCCCTGGCTTTGTCCTAGTCACCTAGGTCACCCACTGGGGAGCCTTGTTGTTGTTCGTATGGTAGTGAACCAACAGGGAAAAAGGAACACGTGTCGGATGCGTATTTTCTCCATCATGGTTCCTGTTGCTGTCTCCCCGCTGCCACTTATGGGCATCAGCACTAGTAGAAAGCGATTAAGCATCTCAATGCGGCTTCACAAGCTAACGACTGTTGCATGCTTGGCTCTAGTCAAATATATGCTTGCACAAAACGGCACCTGCCTGGCAAAAGACAAAACACCTGCAACTCAGATCATCGACAGACCATTCAGTGAGCCCCACAAAGGTTGTCCGACAAGTGCGTCATGGTCAAACCTCTCGGTCATGATCTCCTCCAAACGGTATGTGTCAAGAACGGCGATCCCCTCCTTCAAACGATGGTTTCGCTTGTTTGACTTCCTTTCAAAATGCTTCCCTCACAAAACCACAGGCCCATAGGAGTTCTGGAGTCCTCATGTCGCCCCAAAGCATCCTCCGGGATACGGCAAAAACCCAGATTTTGCTGACGTCGCACGAGCCAAAAATCCGTGGCATGAGATGTGAAGGTGCATTTTTTCCATGGGGGTCCTTCATTGGATGACACACACACACACACACACTCATGTGGGCGTGTCTCAAGCTAGCGGACACCCCGAGTGTGCTTCGGTTCTTTGGCTTCCCTGGCCCCCGCCTGTGACCGCAAAGGCGTCCTTGGATCGAAAGACGACACCCAAGGAACACAAACGGCATGGTTGTGTTTCATTACTGGGGGATCATCCAAACAGCGGGATGCCGCGTGGCCTGTGAATGCCCACTACTGCTGATTGCTTGGGTTGGTGAGCACGCCTACACTACAAGCTGTACTGCGAACAACTGATCCTCGGAAGCGAATGCTTCCAAATTCAGAGAGACCAACGCAAAGAAACACTACTACAGGACGCGGTGTCCTGAAGTTGAACATGACCTCTTGAAGGGAACCACAAGGAGACTATCAAAACATGGACACCTTGTTCTAGTCGAACCGTTACGGTTTTACAGGCGTCCAAACCGGGCTTCCTCGCGCGAACCGGCAACGCAGAGTTTTGAGCGCGCCTCCCTTGCTTTCTTTAGCTTATTGATGCGAAATCGGATGCGATTCCAAGTTGGTGCACTATTCCTCAAGTTGGTGACGACACCGATTGGCCCGGCAGGGCAACACCCATTTGTAGGCTCGGCAAGTTTCCCTTCAGAAGTTTGACGTCTCGGGAAAAAGGGAAAAAGAAACAAACGATTCGGAATCCTTGAGTTGCCCGGCTTTCTGAGATGATCTATCGGGCCATCTATTGATATGGCTTGGGTCTGGCCTCGGACCACTTACAGTGAGCACAAATGGGAGCACAAAAAAACACTGGAAAAAACTTGGACTTCAAAAAAAAGGTACCCACGCAGCCCGGAAACTTAAATTAGGCGCAAGCAGCCCGACGGCTCAGCGCACAACATTGGCTTGGTCACGCTGCTGCTCCCCACAACACCCCCTCCCGGTCAACCGTCAACCTAAGCCAGAGCCTTCCCATTCCCCCCAGCCTCCTCTTTCAGCCTCCTCTCCCAACCTCCTCCCTCCCAACCAAGGGCGGCTGCACTCTTACCTGCGGTCCTCACGCAAAACCTCTGAGCCCTCCCCCTCCCTCTTTGTGTCTGCCCTTCCCACCAACCTTTTCTCTGTTCTTTTTCTTTTGGTTCCGAGGACACTCACGTTTTTTTTTCTTTTGGGAGCGCTGACGCGCCCATGTTTCTTCTTTTTACAAGGGGTCAGGGGGGGGAGGAGTCCTGGGGCAAGTAATTTGGTTTGCGCAGCTTAACTTTGGAAAGCCCGCCGGCCAAATTTCGCGGTGCTTTTTGTGCTCCTCTTGGGGTGTCGCAGTGGCCCTTTGTGCTCCCAATTGTGCTGTCGCGGCGTGCTCCCGCTTGTGGTTTGCTGCGATAATGATTCATTAGCGGGGGGATCCCCGCGGGGGGAAAGTAGGGTTGTGGGGTGGTCCTTTGTGTTTTTTCTTGCGGTGCTTTTTTTGTGCTCCCACTTGTGGTAGCGGGGTGCTTTTTCTGCGCTTTGTATTGTGTTTTTGTGTGCTTTTTCTTGTGCTTTTTTGCGTGTTTTTCTCGAAACTCCATCCGAAACCTGGCCGAAAATTGGCCAGGATTGCAGGAGCTGGCCAGAGTCAGCGCCAGCTTGGCGCCAGCGGGGCCGGGGTGGGGGCTGCCAGCCAGCAGACTGGCCTGCAGACTGTCTGTCTAGATCGTGGTAGGGCCTGTTGTTGCGCCGGCGTCAGGGAAGCACAAAGGCCCTGGCCCTGAACCTGTCTTTCAGGACCTGGGGCTCCTCTACCCCGCAAAAGGAAGAAGCTTAAAGAAAAGACGCCAACGTGTTCTGGCCCTGGGCGAAGCGGCCCCGCGCTGACTGCGCCACGTCCTGCCTGCTTGCGATTTCGCAATCTGTCAGATCAAGATGTCGGAACTTGGTGTTAGCGTTAGCGATTTGCTTTCAACTTGCAGCGACGGGGGAACAGTGGTAGTGGTAGTCGCGGTCTATGTCAATGTCTATGTATATTATATGTTTATGCTATGTCTATGTCTATGTTTACGACCCCTGAACCAGCCTTAAACTTTTCATAGGCCCCCTAACTCCTAATTAATGCGCCTACAGACCAGCGACAACCCTAAAAGCGCAGCACTAAAGAACCAGTAGGGACAGGCACCGTATATGGGCATGGGCATGAAAGAACACCACCCCCAACTGCATCATCACATGGACCAAACAAACACGCAACCTAAAATTGGTAGGGCTTGCCTAGCAAACAGCCACTTGGGTTTTCTGGTGGTCATTTTTGCTAAGGTATTCCGTATAAATGGCGTAATTCAACTGTGAGTGCTCGCGGGCACCACCCAAGATATGGCCAATTATTGTGCTGAAGCTCTTGTGAAAGGGTTGTCGATCTCTAACCCCCCCCCCCCCCCGCCCCACAAAGGGTACCCTCAAAACAAGCCACTGGCCAAAATGTGTCCCTGGACTCATGGGCAAATTATTTGAGTCCCCCATGACCTTCCAAATAAGCCATAGACTGGACTTGGGCAGTCAAAATTGGGGCACCATTGGGGGACCTCGCTGAATATTCGTGACTGTTCTTTTGTTTTTCCCTTGCCAAGGTGAAAAGGGCACCCTCCAATAACCCACACCTTTCACAGAACCTCACCCCCAGGCTCCCCAGGCCCCTAAGCACCCCGGCTCGCTGTCCTCTGCGTCTCGGGGCTTGCAGAGAAGCAGCGAGAGCACCTGCCAAGCTCCGATCTGGATACTTCAAGTGAACAGGGCCCAGCGCGTATTATATGATTTATATATCTATATATATCTATATATGTACAATGTATATGTAAGGGACAGGGAGCCTCCTGGTTGTCAATTGCCTTCCTTGTTGAAGATGTGAGCAGCTCAGTTCATCTCCCCACACAGCCGACGTAGGCTAGGACAACAACAGCTCGCTCACAAACGATGCTTGTGACGCCCGTGCTCATGTTTGCCCCAGGCTTCGTCCATTTCAACAAAGCCGGGCTTCCGACGGCTTCAAGCACATGATGCCCATCTCAGAGAAGCCTCATCCCTGCCATGCTCCTTTCTGCCTTTGGCAGGAGCATGGGAGGGAACCCGATGTTGCAAACAAACCTCGATGCAGATCTCCACCAACCGACACAGGAAAAGGACTACAAGCTAAATCCACTGGGCGCGCACGCTTGCCCAAAAGGCCCAGCATTGTTGCTTGGCCGGACCTCTTGCAGCCCAGGCTGAAATCACAAAGCCAAGCAGAAACCGCGCTTTGGGCTTCTCGCCAGGTCCGCTACCCTTGAGGACTTCCCCCTGCAACTCCACTGGACAGATCCCCAATGAGGGCTCACTGAAAACATCAAGACGAAACAAGCATTGGTCCAACCGAAACCGGCTTCTTTGGAAAAGATGGGCATGACTTAAGGCCCTTTGGACATCATTGAGATGGGGATTCGTACGTGGATTCGTGTCCACCAACCACCTTTTGAGGTTGAACCTATCAAGTTTCATAGCCACAAGGCGCCAGTGCGTCACCCAAAGAGCACATCGGCCCGCAGCACGTATTTCGAACCGAACGCCACCTCTGCCTCCTCCTGCTGCGCACCAACACTTGAGGACGTTGGGCCCCGATAGCTTTGAGAGTGCCGTGATTCGCGGGCAAGGGAAACTCCCCAACTGGCTCATTTGTTGTCAATCCCCCCATCTGCTATCCCCTGCCAGTGAATTCAGCCTCCGTGAGATCAATCCCTCACAATGAAAGATACTGCCGCGCCGCAAAAGGGTTGGGTAAGGACCATCCCCAATCAACCAGTACCAAGTACTATGGCAACCAAGGATAGACACATGTTGCTTAAACTTGCCAACTGCGGCGAAAATAGAAGGAGGTTGCTTTCACAAAGAGTGGTTCAAACCTGTTGAAGCAAGGGATTGGCCCAACCGAGGTGGTAATCAGTCCCATCCTTTTGATGCAACAGGCATCCGATGACCCCTCGCAACTTGCAGAAAAGTGATGCGTGAGGCTCTGTGGCCAGAAAACCTTCCTGGAACCCCTGGAACCTACACTCCAACCCCAACCTGTAACCCAGCGATTGGCTTTGATAGCTGCTGGCTGTTGGGAAGAAACAAAGAAACGCGGGGGGGAGCCAGCGGCATTTCATACTTCTTTTCTTTATCTGGTTGTGACACCCACCCACTTAGCTCACATTAACAAGCCGCCTGCAAGTAGGAAAAACAACACCAAACTTGATTCTCTCAAAGTGATTCTTCTGCATGGTCCTCAAAGGAAAGGTCAACTGCATTTCTTTCTTTTCAAAGCAACCTCTCAGACACAAGCTCCCATGCTTTCCCTTCAGTTTCCCTTTCGAACCCCAGGAACCTCAAAAAGGCGGGAAACCCCCCCGAGTTTCTCTTTCAAACCCTGTCCAACGGGTATCCAACGAACCCGTACAACAGCAAAAAAAACCACATGGCGGGAATGGCCGTCTCCTGCACGGTGCACATCTCACCCTGGGGGTACACGAGCGCCATGCCCGTCTTCGGTTGGAACTCCACAGGCTCTGCCCAGGGCACGTGGAAGACGCTGCAGCCCCCCTCGAGGTCCTCGTTCAGAAAGATCCGCAGGGAGTACTTGGAGACCTCAGGGGGAAACCAAGAGGAAAACCACCATTTTCGGGGCTCCCCCCAAAAAATGCCACCCATTGTATAATATTATGTATAGGTGTATGTATATATATATATATGTTATGAGCTACGGCAGTTCTTTGCTGCATGGTTGAATGGTCGGGTGTTGGAACCTAATTCTGCAACCGTGAACCCATTTGGACTCATTGACCTCGTTGTCCAACGCCGCATGTGTTTGTGACAGTGATCTCAACGGCGGTTCCTAGCTTGTTTTGCACCTACGATGTTACCCAAGACATGTTCCTCCGGCCTGTAGTTCTTGAACCCCGGGGCTCCATGAGCGGGAAAGGAGTTTTTTTCAGCTCATGCTGGAGTTCTCTCTTAGATATGCACCTCTTAAACGTCAAGGGAACGCTCTGAAAGTGCCATCTTAACCAAACTGAGCGGACTGAAAAGGACTCCACGCAAGCTTTGGGCTCAGCTCTAGGTCTGAGGGTCTGAGCAACCTTCAGGGAGGCTTTCAAGTGTGTTTCAGGAGGTCCCGGCCAGGTTGGGATACCAACTGGGTGATGTTTCTGTCAAGCCGCCTGGTCCTGCAGGTGGATGGGGCGATCAATGTGCCGTGCTGAGAAGCCGCCCTGGACGAACTTCTGGATACGGATGACCTGGTGGATGCCGCGAGGGAGCAAGCCGTCCACCTCAGGTAGCCAACCCCCTACTTCAAAAGACGACGCTGAAAACAAAAGAACCCAAACCGCCCAAACCCCGGCAAGAACACACACACATACACATACAACAACAAGGAACTGCCAAACCAAAACAAACATACACACTGGGCAACTAAGTTCTGCCTGTTGCAACATCTTTAAGCACCTCTTGTTGAAACAAGTGGTGGTGCCCCTTGGGTGGCCAGGCTCAGGGGTGAACATTCGCCCAACCCTTGTCCACCTTGACGGTGCGAAGAATCCAACCTAGGCTGGATTGCCACAAGGCGTCGGCGAGGGTAGAGTCCACCAAGTCCAAATACAGCATATCTATCACCCGTGCACGCAATTGAGCCTGAAAGGAGAATCTATCCTCCGCTAGGTGGATAATCCCTCTGCACTCTTCTGGTGAGAGCATGTTCGGGATCCCCATGCAGTCGACATTCTTGAAGTAGACCGGCTCCGGAAATCGGTTCTCGTTAAAGAGCAGCGCGAACTCGGACAGCGGCTCCAACTGCTTCTGCTCGCGGGTTTTTCGCCTTGGGGCGTCAATGCACAAAGCCACGTCCACTGGTGCTCCCGGCGAGGCCTGCTGCGTGCTCACTGGCAAAGGCAACGTATGCGCTGGACCTGGCAAGGGTTGGAGACCAGTGGCGATGCTGGGCAATTCGGCTTAGCTCCTGTTTTGGTGTGTGTGTGTGTGCGTGTTGGCGGGTACCCATTTTGGGGTTGGTTTAGAGCAAGGCCACAAGGAAAAGCACAAATCTTCAGGATCCGCTAAGACAGACCCATTGAGCTTGGTCCTCTAGCCTGGGTCAATGTTCGAGCCTCCTAGGTCCCAAGAAACGGCCGCTGAGAAGGCACAGCTCAACCCGCGAACCCTCCAACCCGTTAGGTTTTACTCTGAACATGAAATGCCATTGATGCCCGGAAAACATCAGCCTTTCCGCTCATGCCCCAGATGGACTTGCGATACGAAATCAGCTCCATTTACAGTTTCTTTACAAGCAATGAGCACCGAAACAGCGGGCGAGCTGAGGCACTGTCTGCAGTGCCGCACGTGAATGCTAAAAAGAAACCTCTACGCTTGCAACACATTGACAAAGACTGCCTTTGGGTGAACAAAGAAGCGGTGACTGGGTAAGAACTGGGAGATTAGTTGGTATGTCATCCCCACATCTCAGCTGCTCCCAAAACAATCCTGTTTCCTCAATGTGGGATGTGCAATTGTCGTTTTCTATCCAGAAACTTCACACCTTTCCCATCTCTCAGCCGCCGAAAGAAAATTGCATTGGCCATTGGCTTTCCACCCCAATTGTTCCTTCAATGTATATTCTATATAATTATATATATATATATGTATATATCCCCCTTCATACCCATGATCTACAGTGCCTGGCTCTTCCTTAGACACAAGGTCCACAAAAAGAAAAGGCCCGCCTACACCAATATGGCCCAAATGCCTTTCAGCCCGTCCAAGCGCCGTTGTCTCCGGCCGCAACGCCAGGACGCGCGGCGACGACGCCCGCGAAGGGCTCACGTCCCCCGGCAGTCGATGCTCATAGTCCCAGCTCCGGTGCAGCGACAGCTCACCCACGTAGCTCCGCCGCATCGCGGAGCTAACCGCGACTTAGCAGAAAGAAAGCTCTAGAAACCCATGGTAGCCTGGAAATGAGTGGTCGAACAAATCCCGCGGAACCACGGGTTCTGAATCGAACCTAGTTTGCAAGTTTGCCTTTGGGGACGTATTGGGCAGCAGCTTCATTCTGGCATGTGAACATGCATCGCGGGTTCAATGATGAACCGGGCATTTCACACCCCCAATTGCAAACGGCAAGAAGGTCTCATACGCGGTTTTCCTACAAATGGCTGTATTCACATGCTCGCAAAGGAGCATCATATTCAGCCAAAGAGTCATGTGAGGCTATGTCCCTGCAAGTACCACAGGTTCGGCGCAAGACCTTCTGGAGCCAAGGATGCGAGCGCCTCTATCAGATGAGCCGAAAGCCATGACTTGGGGCGTCCTTTTCAAGGAATGCAACATGCCGTTCAAGCATTACAATGGGCCCCCTCGTCTGGTAAGTCGTTCTACCCAACACAAGAAGAGCACCTGACAGCCATGCTTCACACTTGCCAGTCGGTTGGCTTCGGACAAGTGAGCACATGATCAACATTACACAAGTCCGGTGAGACACGGCCAATGCTCGTTGTGCCCCCAACACACCATAGACGACAAATGGGCGTGGCTCAAAATCAACAGGAGGGGTTACGCAGGTGTTGGTCCATGTTTCCACTGACCAGGGTTCCGTTCCATTCTGGTACCGGTTTTTTGAGCCACAGCCAAATGTTGACCGTTGCCCCCATAGCTTCGGGGCCACTCTCACACCTTGTGGCAGGTTATCGGCTATTGATCATGTGGGTTGGTTCGGCCCGGTCCGTGAATTTATGCTATCGAAGGAACGGTTCGTTTTGACGCTTCGCCAAACAAACTGCTGACCACGCACCTGGTTGTGGTGGCTGGAACAACTTAAAATCTGCTGACACGATCCTTCGTGGTAGCGGTTCCAAGGACACCTGAAGCCAAACCACCTGGACGGACAATCAGGATCCGGGGGAGACTGTTGAGGCTTTGAAGAAATGTGCATATTCTGTTTGGCCCACTTTCAAAGAGACGCATGGGTATCCGCGGGTGTGTTCCCTTCGAGTCAACAACAATGTAACCAACCATCTGGATGGGGTCCTCTGGTTTTGCACCCCCTGGGTTGCAATGTCGATCCCTAGAAAATAGAGGTACGGAAATGGGACAATTCCCGCTTTTTGAGTATGCCAGGAAACCGCTAGAGATGGATCTCTGAGTTAACTTCAGGGTATTGGATTGGCGGAATTTGCCAAGTTGTCAAGGTGCCTCTCGTTGTCGAAGTTGCTCAAGCCCGGTCTGTCTCAAAGGGGAACCCCTGAAATGGTCGGCGTGCCTTTGCTTTTCGAAATTGAATCATCATTATATCCTCAAAACTGCCCCCTTCAAGTGAAGAAAAGGAATCTGGTTGGCCAAACCCCGGTCGCTCGATTTTCCTTTGGCACCTCCCTACCCAAAGGGAATTAACGCCAAGCACACACACACACACAACGCCGACACCCATAGACAAACACCTGTTTCAGGTTTCCAAGTCCCCCCCTCCCTCCCGTGTATCTTTGAGTCGCCCTGACTCACATGATTACATTGCGGCGCGGGGGGGCACTGAACCGGAGACCGGGAACATATTTAACGTGAATTGTATGTGTCCATATATAAATACAAACGATACATATATATATATATGTATACTGTATATATATATATAATTATATTATACATGTTCATACTGTACTTGCTCAACCCCCATGTCCCATTCCCCCACAAAAAGCAAAGCGAAGCACCCCTCCATCCTCCTACAAAACCAAAACAAACAACAAACAAACCCCGGGCGCTCCCAGACACCCAGCACCCCTCCATCCTCCCACAAAGCCAAAACAAACAACCAACAAACCCAGGGCTCAGCACCCCTCGATCCTCCCACAAAACCAAACACAACACGAACAAACCCACTGATTAAAGATTGAAGATTGATGACAATTCCTCCCACAAAACCCAAAACAAAGCACCAACAAACCCAGAGACCGCCCCAAACAAACCTCGGTCGCTTTCTGCTCCCCTACTAAAAGTTAAACTTTTAGTGAAACACCCAGTAGCAACATGCAACAAAGAATCAGGAGAAAAAAAAGAAGGAAAAAAACATATCACAGAGAATTTCAAATAAAGTGAAAACGCAGAGACCGCCCCCAAACAAACCGAAGAAAACAAACAAACAAAAACCGTCGAGTGGGCGCCTCGTCCTGGAAGTTGAGGCGCTGCAGCAGCTGGCGCTGGTTCTTCTCCAGCGCGCGGCGCAGCTCCTGCAAGGCCTACGACGCCGGCCACACGCCGGCCACAGGACAGGCGGGGAGGGGGGGAGGAGGGGAGGGGTGTCCTGGTTTGGAGAAAACCACGCAACCCGTGTTTTGTTTGTTCTTTTTTGGGGGTGGAGGACTAAATGTGATTTTATTTGCTTTTAGGTACCCCAGAACTGCGTGGGTGGCTCATTGCCCCTTTTTTGGCTGGATTTGAAAAGTTTGAGGAGACGCCCTCGATTTTGAGACCAAATTTGAACGTGCGCAGTTCCTGCGTTGCTTCACGGCTGGTGGCCACAGCTCTGGACTCCCCTGGTTCAGTTTCTAAATCTAGGCGGTCAAAAAGGCCGAGGCATTCATATGTGCTCGGGACTTGGGTGCTGTAGATCCCCCAGCATTTGTTTTCTAAACTTGTTGCCGGACAAAAGGAAAGATGAGGGGAATCCAAAAAGTTAAAGTCTAAAGATCCAACCCAATAGCAGCACAGGGGAGTCTTTCAGGTCTCATGCCATTGAACGGTTCTGCACCTTTCGACTCCGAGGCCTCCGCATCCGTGGGGACCGGCAGGGGTCCTGAGAAGCGGAAGCCGTGCACCCTTTGAAGCCGAAGAGCGGGACGCAACAAGAGGCAGCCTGTCTCAACCAGATAGCGTCACAAATTTACGGTTACTTGCGGGAGATCAGATTCTGAATGACTTCGAATATCAACGATCTTCCTTCCTTGGCCCCTCCCGGGTGTTGTTTTCGTAGGGGGTCTGGAACAAAGGAACACTGATCCATGCCCTGTGAGGTCTTTTTTGGAAACTTACAATCAGACATGAGCTGCTTGGCCTTTGCGGCCAGCATCTCCTTGGGATTTTTTGTTTTTCCGCCGACCGTTTTGAGGGTGCTCCAACCCTGAAAAATCATGTGGCCATGAGTCAACACCCCGTACCCCGTGAACATCCGATTCAATCCCCACTAAAATAGGCTTTAAAATGGGTGGTGAATTCACCTATCCCAACATGGGATCCCTTGGGTTTTGACAACCACAGTCATGTTGCACTGCGCAATGTGAGACTCGACCCCCTCCTTGATCCCCGGCGGCAGCCTGGCAGCTGACAATGCAATGCCTCTTCCTTGAGCATCAGGGGTACTCACTTGCCCAAAGGACCTGGAAACAGAAGGTTAACCTTTTGGGACCTGTACTAAAAATGGACCAAAGTGGGAAAACCAAAAGGTTAAAAGGTCGGCTTTGGGCAAGTGATTACTCCGAAGATCGGCAGGGTGCCGGATAAGAAAGCACACCAATTGCCTGCCCTGGAGTTTTGAGGCTCCAAGCAACTGTGATGCGGTGGCCAACATTGAGGTTTGGCGGGAAACTTTGAGCAATAGCCAAAACCAAACAAAACAACCAAACACCTCTGCAAGCTTGCGGCTTTGCCTTGCACCTTGTATGCTCTCTTGACCAATCAAGCATACCTGGTCACGTATCAAATGTGACCCTGTGGATACGTGTCATTTTGCCGACTGCAGAAGTCGGCCTTACATGGCCCACGGGGTTCTTCTCAAGCCGGGCCCTTCGTTCCCTGCCAGGGCGCCTCCGGCATGGGAACTCTCGGCGCTTTGGCCTCGGCAGCTAGAGAAGCGAGGAGCAGTGGAAAACAAGTCTGTGCGCCCATCTGAGCTGGAAAAAAAAACCGTATTAAAACTCTTATCCCAGGATGTTTTCATTGCAAATCCAAGCGGCGGTCTTCATAAGAGTGAGGTCCCCCAAAAACATGCCCCTTAAGTGTATGAGGTCTCAGGTGTGTACACCGCTGCAAATTGTTGCTGGCTGCTGCTGCTGGCTGCTGCGGCTGCTGCTGCTGCGGCTGCTGCTGCTGGCTGCTGCTGCTGCTGCTGCTGCTGCGGCTGCTGCTGCTGGCTGCTGCTGCTGCTGGTTGCTGCTGCTGCTGCTGCTGCTGCTGCTGCTGCTGCTGCAACTCGTTGCTGGGATCTGCAGAAACAAAGAAAATGCAAACTACAGAAATGGGCCACTCCTGATACAAGGCATCTACGACTTGCGCGCGACTTGCGCGCGACTTGCGCGCGACTTGCGCGAAAATTTGGCAATCTTCCGGATTCTTTCGACCATGCGGATGATGATGATGATGATGATGATGATGATGATGATGATGATGATGATGATGATGATGATGATGATGATGATGATGATGATGATGATGATGATGATGATGATGATGATGATGATGAATCATCACTGCGTCACTTGCGCTTCACTTGCGCTTTACTTGCGCGGCCCCATGTTTGACTTGCGCGGCCGCTCCTGCAACACACTCCTGCCATTCAAATTAAAAGCGGCGGTGCAGCTAATTTGATAGGTCCAAAAGACCTGGGATCATGCCTGACATTGACACATACAACGTTTTTTTTTCTTCTTCTTTTTTTCCGACTCATCTGAAGTAGCGGTCGATAGGTCGCCGTGTTCGCTTGCCATGGGTTCAAACCAAACATGATGACGCTTTGTGGGGGCCTGCAGCCTGTGAAAGCGGCGTGACGACGACATCGAAAACAGATCCCAAACACCTCTCACATCACAAACTGCAGGAGTGAACTACGTTCCTCGAATATCAGGACTCTACAACTGTGGCACATAAAGGCAAACACTCCACAACCAAAACATCCACCCGCAAACCGGTGATGGATTCTGCAAAGGGTACAAACAGTGCGCAGTTGAGTGCATGCTGAGCTCTTGACCGGGCCTAAGCTCTGCAGGGGACGAGCATCTTTGCAAGAAAAATATAGTGAGCTGCTGGCAAAGCAAAGGTCCGCGGCAGGCGAGCGGCTCCCAATCAGAATCTGAATGGGGTCTGTCAAAACCGGCCGGACGCGGGCTTCATCAGACCAAAGAGTTCATGGGGATTTCATGGGGATTACAGCGGAGCCAGCAAGTTTCAAACGAGCACTCGGAAAGTCAAAGAGCCGTGTTTCACTGGCTGCCATGACTGGGTTCAAGGCAACTCAAGCCAACTAAATTTGAACCACACCCGACCGGTGGCACACGCACTTGCGGAAACTTCTCAATATGGGAGTGTCTCCAAACAAGGGGACCCTAAATTTCCTTATACACACAATCATGATAGGAATCGCAGGAGCGGACGTCTCCATTTAATGCTGGGAAATAGTCCTCTGCCCTTCACTTGTCTTGCCGCACCCAATGACAACTCAACATAAAATCAGGGATGGTCTCATCATCCAGATTCTGATTCATGGCCACCCGTTTTTCGCCACCACATGTGTCATGAATTCGCCCGCCCCGGTGTGGCTGGATCTGCTGCGCTGATGCCTTTGGCACACTGCGCCATGGTCAGAAAGCAAGCTGATTTCAAATTGACTCCACCGACTCAAATTGTCCCATATACAACATACCCCACTGACTCAACTGTCTCAACTGACTTCATACTGTTCCATGCTCCACTCACGCAAATTGTCGAACCTGCTTTATCAGATCCTTCCTCTGCTTCAGAGCACTCTGACTACCTGCTGTTTCACATCCAAAGGGCAAATCACAAAAACTCCATGTCCCAGGTTTTCGACCATGGCGCCCGTCTCCAGCCCTTTCCCACAGAGCTCAGTGCAAGCCAGCGCTATGGCTGTCCTCGCGTCACATGGCTCGCCAAAACACGCAGCTTCTCTTTGGACTCATGTTTAGACTTTTGAGACAATGCGAAACTTACCAATGTGGATATTCGGAGGGCCAGCCTTTGATACTTCCGTACGTCCTACCGGAGTTGTGTTCGACTTTCCAGGGATTTGCACGTGTAGGAGCCCCCAGGACTAGGATGCCATGCGCAATGTTAGCATGGCGGCTGTCCCATGTTGGCTCTTTTCACTAGTCCTTGCATTGACCGCCAAGTAACGCCTCTGAATATCTCCATCTGAGGCCGGGTCGTGCACAAGGCCTTCAACCTCTCTTGGACTCCCGGCCTGCAGTGAGGAAGGGGCCAAGGGTCCCGCAGAACCAACGCGACATCGCCCTCGAGTCTCACGGGAAGCCAACGCCATCCCACTCGAAACAGCCAGTGGGCCTTGTATCCATCTGCAGCCAGTCGTCCATAGCCCCCCCATGCAACCAACCAACCAACCAACCAACCAACCAACCAAGCCAAGCCAAGCCAAGCCAAGCCAAGCCAAGCCAAACCAAACCAAACCAAACCCAACCAACCAACCAACCAACCAACCAACCAACCAACCAACCAACCAACCAACCAACCAACCAACCAACCAACCAACCCATCACCAGACCAACCAACCCATCACCAGACCAAATAAAAAGCCAGACCTAGTTCTAAAAAAAAAAAAAAAAAAAAAAAACACTACCTCCCCCTCCCCCCCCCCCCATGCGGCCAAACAAAAACCGACGCTCAGAACCATCCCCTGGCCTTCATTGGCATGCCGCTCAGAACCTCAAGTTGCGAGGGTTGCCGCTAGTGAGGATCATCTGCGTTTGGGTTTGAGGGAGACACATGTCAACTCTGGTCTTGATGCAAAGGCATTAAACATGAGAACTCAACTGTTTTGGGGAAGGATGGAGGGCAGAGAATCCATGCGTTCGAAGCCATTTTGGTGATTATCTCCAACATTCCCACCCCCCCAAAGAAGAAGAAAACAAGCTCCACCTCTAGACACTTTCCCTTTCACAAGGTCTCGCCAAGAAACCCTTGACCAACTTAATTTAAGGGCCGTTTCGCGGCCTGACTTTGACAATCCATCCCACGGGCAAAAAAAATGAAACCCGCAAGTGGGACTTCAGCACGCTGTTCTGCCGAGTAACTGCGATCTCAGCTCGCAAGTGTCGAAGAGCCTGGCCCATTCATAGAGCTTGCCAAATTGTTGATGCAAATAGTGACAACGCAGGAAAGGAAGCATGACACAAGTGAGCCCACCACCCAACACCTACGGAGCGAATCTCCGCACCGATCTTTCTTGTTTTGGACTGTCCCCCAGTAGCCTTCATCTACGCGCTCGGAGGAAACAAGGCTCCAATGCTTACGTGAGCCACCGCAAGCCTCAAGTTTCGGAGAAACGAATACGATTTGTTCAATTTGGGAGAGGGGTTGAGGCCTTGCAGCACTCATTGATATTCCTGCAAACATGCAAACATGCATACATACAAACGTACTTACAACAGTATGCGCACTTATACATGTACACGCATGCACGTGTATATGTATATGGTGTGCATATTTGTTTATAACAATGCTACAATGTAAAATAATATAAACATAATATAATATAATATAATATAATACAACACAAGACAATATAATATAATATAATAAAATACACTAATATGATAGTATAATACAAGATGATATGATATGATATAATACAACATGTATATATATACATATATATATAGTTCATATCAAACGTGTCCACGTGTGTATTATGTGTTGCCTACACATGCATAGATTAAAACAGTGGCCATCATCCACAACTGATGTGCTACGCATAGCCTCGTTGCGGCGCTTCAATCCATCAGCATGGACCCACTTGACGAACCTCGGTGCCAGTACCACTGTTCAAAGAGAGGCCCTCTTGGCTGGTCCCAGGAAATCAAGCGCAGTCCCCGACGCACCGTGAACCCGATTATGGGAAACACCCGCATGAATCTGTGTCAAACTGGAGAGCCCCTTTTGGAACAAGTGCAGAAAGAAGACAGCCATTCACCAGTCCGAGTTTTGTCCCCCCCACATTCGTCATAAATTTACTGAGTAGGGGGGCCCGTGTCATCCCCTTTGCATCTGGCTTGGGCCGCAGCCCGCATGTGCCGGTTGCCACTGCTGTGGCAAAGGCCTTGGCGAAAAGAGGCGCTTGTCAGCTCCTGAAACCTCCCCGAATCTAGAACAAGCAAAAGCCAAGCCTTGCCGCCCCGGCTGTCGCTGTCTGAGGGGCAGGCAAGCCAGCCAACAGCTTCAAGGAAGTTCTCCTGGCCAACCACACAGATCGAGTGGGGCGAACCAAGCAGCCCTGATGTTGAGTGCATCCGCTCAGAGCATAGGTGATTCAAGGCGCGCCTCGCCAACGGGCGACAAGGGGAGTTCCTTGGTAAGGACCAGCCTCAGATCTTCAAACGAACCCTATGCAACATCAGCATGCAACAACCACGCAACGCCCATGCAACAAAATAACAACGATGAATGCGCGCGAAAACAATGACATCTCTCTGGTGTGGCATAAGGAAGGACAGCCCTTGCTGCATCCATCAGGATTTGTTCGCTACGCATCATTCACCGCGCGCAACCCGCCAGGGCCACGGCTGATCAATTGTCTGACCTGTCAATGCATCCGTCTGTTGGTACCTGGTCCCGATTCCACCCCGGCCGGGTGGCACACAGCGCACTCAAACTGATGAATAAGAGGCCCAACAGCTGCATTGTGGCGCACTTGCATGGGCGCCTCCTTGAGATCACATGTCCGTTTCCGTGGGCGTGGCGGGGGCGGGGGAGGGGGGCGAACGTGTCCATTGAGCAAAGGCATCATGCTCCTGAGGTGAGCGAGCTGAGGCACACACTCCGCGCGTTCTCAGTTTCATTCTGTTTACCCTTCTCTCCTAGGGAAACGGGCAATTCTTGGCTGTTGCACCCAATCGGTAACACAGCACAGGCAAAGACCTTTGGAGGCAACTCACGCACAACTCACCATTCATTCCAGCAGTTGCTTTGCGCCGGAGTAGTGTTGCCAGCTTGCTCCAGCTACGACACGTCCCATGAAGGGTCAACCCAACAAACACCAGCTTTACTCTGCCCTAGCTTCGAGAACCAGCATCTTACAAATTTCATGCTGATGCTGCCAAATACATTGTCTCCATGTCCTCAGGGCTCTCGACCCACAAGGAAACATCAACTGCAAAACCGCAAGGGGCCTTTATAATCGTCTGCTGTGGTGATGCGCTGTGGGGAGGAAACAAACACCAACCCGTCGGAACTTGCCCAACTATGTATCCCATTTACACTGGGAGCGAGCCGCCATTCATCCGACACTATGAAAGTATCACACATCCCGTGTCCTCCCTGAGATGTAAAAAACTTGATTTGTCGCAGCCCTTTTTAAACAATATGGTCTTCCCAGGTTCTCCAGAACAGTTGAAAGGGTGGATATAGAGTACGCTTGGGGCAGCAATGTGTGGCCTCATCATTGCCCTTTTTGATCAGCTCAGCGCACTCCAGCTTGGTGGCATTCAGGATCAACTCCCCGTAGCCGGCCCTGAGACAGGTAAATACCCTCTCACCTACTTACATGGAATTGCACAAGCCCCTTTAAAAAAGGAATCTCGTCTTCCAAAACGGGCCTTTGCATTTCGACGTTGGGAGGGTAGCCCTGTTCATAGCGTTCGTTCTCCGGTGTCCAACCCGCTCCGGCATCCCGCTACCTTCCATCGGACTCCAACATGTGTACATCACGCTTCCCGCACTTGAACTTGTGGCCTCCGCAGCAGGAAATCCTTCCATGGGCCCGAGCAATCTGAATTGTGGCTGCTCACTCGGCACAAATTGAGGCAACTCTGACTCACTGCCCTTCACATTTCATGTGAGGCAATAGCGTTGCTGTATTTGCCGTAGGGGCCGGAAGGGAACCCAAACTTGGAGCCTTCCCCCCCCCCCCCCCCCCCGCTCTAATCCTGCGCAGAAGGTCCCGGAATCCGGAATCTCTTTTGCACAGGCGGGCTGCGTGATTGGGGATCGCCTTCTTATTTCAACGAGCGCTCATCTTTCTTCCCGTCTCACATAACGCGTGGCCTTTCATTTCGCTTCAAAAAGCATCCTTCTTGGTTTCCTTTTGGTTTTCCCTCCCAAAAATGGGCGTCTCCCCAAAAGCTTGGACACCGCGCTGCCCCGGATGTCTCTGCGCAGTGAAACGGGCCGGGAGATCCGCGTACCTGAGTTGCTTTTTCTCCCGGCAGCGTGAAGGTGAAGGAAATTCGACGGATCTCAAGAACTCATGCCTCTGTTAGGCACGATTATTAGTAACAAGGGAGGGGGGCGTCCTCTTAACCTCCCGCAAGCACGTGTGTCTGAGAAATCATTCAACTCCAACGTGTCATTGCGAAGAATGTAACCAACCCAAACGCTACCCCCGCGCCACTCCTCTCCTCTAGGCTGGTGGACAGTTGACGTCCAACTTTCTATGCCAAACCTCCCCATTCTGAAGAGCTAACCCAAATATCCCCCAAAATGAATGACCCAAGCAAGGCTAAAACTCAACTGTTCCCATTCTTTCCCTTTGCCGGCTCCCAGCAGATCACCAGGCCTCTCACAAGCAGGAGCCGTCAGCCTTGCCCTTGTTGTTTTGCCCACGTCCATGTCATGAATCATTGCCAAGGTGACCCTGACAAACACAAAGCCCGTGGCTTCACGGAAGGCTCCTAATGGCACCACGGGCCTCTCATCAGCCAACCAACCAAAGCGATCCAATTTTCCACAAGCTCGCAGTTATCCACTTCCTCATTCTCAACAGGGCCCACGCAGCAGCCCACGCAGCAGTTGTCATCACTTTCGGGAGGAAAGATCGGAAATCCTAGAAAATTGGATACGGAAAGAATTGGTTTTAACCGAAAATATAGCCTCACACAGTTAGGGCAGGCCATGCGCAACTTTTTTCGGACTCAAAAGTCTAGGGTCCACCCTAGGATTTTTTGCATTTTTTGAATAAGCGCCTCAAAACAGCCATTTTAAAACATTTTTTGAAACAGTCTAAACACATTTTGATAAATATTTTTTTAGTACTGCATACCAAAACAAAAATTGAATTATTTTTTGAAAAATTCAATACACCTAAACATTGTCATTTTCAAAAACATATATTTTCCAAAATATTTTAGAAAATATATTTTTTTCAAAAGAGATAAATATATATAGCATCTTAAGAAGAATTATTCAATAAGAAACAACATTTTCAATAATTCAATGAGAAGACAAATAATTAATCATTTTTCGAAATTTTGATATTCCGGAGTTGCGCATGGCCCACCTTGTAGGATTTTATCTTCAATATATAAAACGCTATACTTACATTATAATTATAACATATAAGGGTATAAATGTTATAATCATAGTATGGTTTTATTATTCAGGTTCATCAATAATTAGTATAAACCTTATGTGTTTTACTCCTACAATATTCATTGTATTCCTTTCATTATCAATATTTCTACATATTGTTGCAACTGCGTATTCCATTACATCAGTTATATTATCTTGGTCTATAGAACCCATTAAGTGTCTACCACTATGAAAATCAAAACCATAACTGCTATATTCATCATCCTCAAAATAATTAAAATGATGAAACCTTACACATAAAATTATATCAACTATTATTATTGCTTTATAACTTTCATATCCTACATACTTATCTATTAAGCTATCTATTTCATCCCCTTCTTTCATAACTATATCTTCAATACTTTCAATGCTTAATGGAACCTTCCTAGAAACATAATGTTGAAATATTTGTCTCTTTACTTTATCACCATCTAAATTATTACAGTGCTTTGTTTCCCTTTCTATGTCAGTTCTGTCAATTTTATATCTTCGTTGTATTCTCTTCAATGTTTCATTATGATTATGCTTTATTTTCATATATTCTGGCTTGCCATATTTATAGGACATAATATTATTAATAACTTCAACTGGTAGTTTTTGAAACTCCATTTCTATTATAATATATATATATAGTGTTTATTTCTTTAAATACTTTTTTACAAGAAATAAAATTAAATATTGGAATATACTTATAACATATAATATTTTACATGTTATAATCATAGCATGGTTATAATCAAAATCATTCCCCGATTCTATCAAAATCATTCCCCGATTCTATCAAAATCATTCCCCGATTCTATCAAAATCATTCCCCGATTCTATCAAAATCATTCCCCGATTCTATCAAAATCATTCCCCCGATTTCTGTCAAACTCATCACAGTTTCCAATATCAAACTACTAGGTATTTTATATAGGTCTTGTTGCTAAATAATTCTAATAAATTCATATTATTAGAATTATCTAGATTTTAATTTCCAACCATTACATATTTATCATCATCGCCCTTAATTAGTTTATAATATTCTAATGTTTGTTCTTTTGGACTTTTGATTTGTCCCTTATTTAACATATCGCAGTATTTTTTACGCTTGGTATCATAATCACCGCTAGGTCTGCCTATCCCTTTCTTTTCAAAAATCTTATTCATCTTCTCCTTCTCTTCGTTGCTTTGTTGTTCGCGTTCAACTGGTTTCATTTTGTCATCAATGGATTTAATCATATCATTTAAGGTTTTGATATTTTTACCAATTAATGTTATCTTCTTCATTAAATCATTAATAGTATAATTTTCATTTTCAGACATTACTATATATTTATTTAGATAATTATTTATTTAATTATATATTTATAAAGTGCAATTATGTTAAATCTACTCTTTAAATACTAATTTTTCATCATTTGTTTAACAGTTTCCTGTGTTTCGTTTTCATTATTATCGGTTGGTGTTGCTTGCCTACCAAATTTAAAAGTTATACTATGGACATCAGTTTCTAAGTTGATACTGTCTTTAGTTTTATCAATATTCATTTTCTTATCATTTTTACTTATTTTGAAACTTGTTGGAATACATGAACATTTACAACTTTTATTATTTTTTATTTGTAATTCATTCTTAAGTTCTAACATTCTTTTGCATGTAGGACAAACAACCTCAATAACTGATGTTTCTTTAACAATTTCTTCATCAGTTGATGAAACACTTAAACCTGTCTTATTCTTTTTGTTTTTCTTTTTTGGCATTTATATTAATATTTATATTTTTAATATATTGTATCAAAAACTTAATTAATTCTAAGATAAAATAACATATTTTTTTACATCTATTATCAGTTATTAGTATTTGTTCTATATTCTCCATTTCATCTATTATATTAATATAATCTGTATAACTCCTTTTCATATTAAATAATAAGATAAATTATTTTTCATTTCTGTCTTTCTTTCCTTGTAAAGTTTTTTCATTGTATCGTCCTTATTCCATCTATATCCCACAAATTTCTGATGATGTTTTGAATTTAGATGTTTAAATAAATATTTGTCATCATAAGTTTTACAACAATTGCAATGGATAATAGTCATATAAATAATAAGATAAAATATTTATTTAATCTTATTATTTTCATGCATGATAGAATATTGGGAGGGCACAGCACTGGGGTTTCACTGCAACACGCAAGCGAGATACAAACTAATTAGATTCAATGCTTATTGATTGAATCAATGGAAAACCTGTTCCATTTTTATGATATTCGCCGCCAGCATATCATAAAAACGATGTTCCATTTAATATTAATTACAAGTTAATTTTTAAATATAATTTTCTATATATCTTTAATATCAACTATGACAGATGTTCCAATAATAAAACCAATAAACATAACTGAATATGAATTCAAACAATCTAAATATGAGCACGTGCCAAAATTACCATTTAGAAGTATTATAGTTGCTTCTTCGACAGGCGGTAAGACTGTCCTTATTCAAAATTTAATACTGAATGTTTATAGAAATTCATTTGCAAGAATATTTATATTTTCCCCCAGCGTCCATAACGACCCTACATTTACAGAAGTTAAAAAATATATCAGGGACGAATTGCACGTGGATGATGAAAAAGAACAAATTTATTTTGATAATTATAATCCAAGTGATTTAGAAAATGTAATTGAAAGACAGAAGAAAATTATTAATTATATGAAATCTAAAAAGATAAAGAAACTGCATTCAATATTAATTGTGATAGATGACCACGCAGACGACCCTAAATTTGTTAGATATAGTAAATTATTACATGGACTTTTTACAAGAGGCAGGCACGATGCAGTAAGTGTAATTTGTTCAACACAAAAATATAATGTTTTAGCGCCTATCATTCGTTTAAATGCCAGTTCATTATATATTTTTAGGTTGAAAAATGCCAGTGAATTAATGAGTTTTATTGAAGAAAATAGCGCCATTGTTGATAAACAGCAATTATTAGATATGTATCATCAAGCCGTTAATGACGCACCTTATAGTTTCTTCTACGTGAATATGAATGCTAAAGACATTAACAAAATGTTTCATATCAGATTTGAACAGGCGTTTCAAATTACGATTGATGAATAAAGATATTCTACTTTAATATAATATAATAATATGGTTATAAAACAATGTAAATGCGGTGGATTTTATCGTAGAGGTAATTATAATTTTCATACTAATTCTTGGATACATAAACTTTATAAGGCATTGAAGAGGAGGGCAACGGACGAGGAATTATTAAGATTTCAAAATAATTTTGTTGATGAAGAAGATTTAATAGATGAAACAAATAGCACTGTTTCAACATCAACGCCAAAAAGTGAAAGAAGTTGTATAAGCAATTAATAATATTAATTTGTTTTAATATTATTAATTTAAAATAAAGAATAACTACATAGATTCAAAGCAGGTAATTTATAATATATTTTATCTTTTTTACATTCATTAACTTTTTCTAATTTATTGATTATTGCTTTCAATGAATTTATTTGTAGAATATCAATTCTTGACATTTCACTTATCGTATTTACATCTATATCTTTTATTACTTTAATAGCCTCTTCGTCATCAATTTCTACTGGTTTTGATTTACTTGAACCCATTATATATAATATTATTTAGATTTTAATTTTTCAAAATTGAAATGTTGGTTTTCTTCTTCTTCTTCTCTTCGTCTTCAGTTGGTGCTGGTATTTCTGTTGGACTTTCAGATGAAGAACTATGAACAGTAATAGGTGGAGAACTATGAACACTAATAGCTTCATTTGATGAATTGCTACTGCTACTTTGTGCATGCCTGCTGTTAT